TTTTGTTTAACTTACTTGTCTGAGGTCCAACAGCAGGTTAGTGGCAGGACTCCTCTCCAGGGTTCTTTACACGTAGAGGGCCTGACTTCCTGCCCTGTTTCCCACCTGGGCAGGGAAGCGCACTGGCTCCGGGGTCTCTTCCCTGTGGGCAGGCAGCGTGGGAAGGAAGGGGGTGAGGAAAGGTAGGTGTAGGGTGAATGAAGTTATCAGGCTTTTTTCTGCCCTCCTGCCGTGTGGATGCCCCGGGCTGAGGGGTGTGGGTTCGGGCTTCATGCACCTGTAATTATGGACACCTGGGCCCCATGAGCTGGCTAAAAGGATGGCATCACTCTGAGGCTGGTCTGTGGCCACAGGAGGACCACTCTGAGGTGAGACCACGAGACTGCATGAGGCCGGGAATGCCAGAGAGGGGCCAGAGAATAAACACAAAGAATTGTGGGGGTTGGGAGGCTCTGTTGCCTCTTGGTCCCTTGTGCTTGCCTCCCTGCCTTGTGTGCCTGTGTACCTGGTTCCCTGAGAGCATTAAAGACCTGTAAAAATCCACCGAGGGATCCAGGACTCTCCTTTATCCTTGTGCCCGAATCCACAGTGAGGCTGCCCTGTGCTTGCTGGCACAGGGTGTACAGACATCGGCCTCCTCTGCAGCTTGTTTTTCCTCTGCTGTTACCTAGAGTGCCTTGAGCTGCAACACGAGGTGGCTCCAGTGTGGGGAGCATGTCCGTGGTGGCTCCTGGGCCGGCTCTTGTGCCAACCAAGTGCCATCTAGTGCCGATTGCTGGCACTGCAGCCCCAGCCCACTAAGGGGCTCGCCCCATCCTGACAGCGCCTGTTTACCAGGTTGGCTTCTGGGTAAAGAGACTGCTCAGGGCAGAACAAAACATTCAAATTCCTCCTGACTCTTTTCCTGCAGAGGCCTGAATGCCAGCTCAGAGATAAAGGGGACACAGTAGAGCTCTAGACTGAAGATGGGACTTGGATGTTGTGAACATCTCATCCAACTCTTTTTTTTTTTTTTGAAGATTTATTTATACAAGAACCGGGTACAGGCCAGATACGTAGGAGGGTGAGAGGATTCACCAGAGACAGAGCGGGGAACAGAACAGGCAGACTGACAAAATACATCGCTGAGGGGAGCAGCGGGTGAGACGGGAGAGGTCTGCTGCGCCATGTGGGATTCTCGGCAGCCGGCCGGGATCGAACCGATGCTGCAGAGGCTGTGGACAGCTCCACAGCGCGGTGCTCAACCGCCTGCGCCACCAGGGAGGCCCCTTATCCAACTCTTTCTTTCCGCCGTCACACTTTCTTTGCTCACACCTGGAAGCCCTCAGGAGGTTAACGAGGGGTGGCTGAGGTGAAGGTAATGGTTTTTCTGTGCTCCTGGTCATTTTTTGATGTTAGTTTTTCTGGTAACAGAAAACAACCAGTGTGTACACTTAGGTGAAGGGCCCGAGGGTGGTTTTTCCAGCAACTGCACATGGCCCAGAGATACTTCAGTTGGGTCCTTTCTCCTGATCTGCCTTCAAGCTTCATCGGCTCATCTCTGTCATCTCCATTCTGTTCTTAAGTCCATTCAGTGGATTTTTTTTTTTAATTTCAGAAGCCTTTCTCTTCTAAAATGGCCACTATAAAACTTTTTTCAGTTTTTGTTTAGTGGTAGTAGCTGCTGTAACAGCTTTATCTCTGTCCTGGTCATCGCTGCTGATTGTCTTCTCCCTTGCAAATGGGTTTAGTTTTTCTAGGTTTTTTTTTTTTTTTTTCCCCATTTCAAAAGGACAGGTTTATTAGGAAAAGGAGAAAGAAAAACAGGCACCTGCATAGTCACAGGCGGGCAGGAGAGCTGCCTGGTTCTTCCACTTCTTAAGGTAACTCGGTTTGTGTTCTGGATGTGTCTGCGTGGACGTGTCGTGTTGGGAAGCTCTGGTTTCTGTGGTGTGGTGTATTTTTTTCCTCCGGCGGGCATTTACCTTGATTAGACTCAAAACTGCAAACTGAATTTCATCTGCAGTGGGTGGCATTTCAAATCTCAGTCCAGTTATTTTGTCCTCAGGTGAGGTCCTTGGGTCCTGCTCTGTGTATGTGGCTCAGGGCGCAGCGTGCGACGGGGCTGCTTCCACACAGGGCCTGACTGCCTTTCTCTGACTCTCTTTGGCCTATTTCCTATCACCCGCGACAGCTCTGCTCTGTTTTCTGGCTCCTTAGTACACAAAGCCTAGGGGTTTGCTTTTTAACTTGAATTTCAGCTGGACGGGTCTCAGATCAAAGCTCCCAAACTGAGAAATTCATCCCATACGAGTTCCTTCTTCCAGTGTTGAGCTTTTCTCTCCAAAATCCACTAGTGCTTGTTCACTTCAGATAGTCATTTTTTTCTAATTTATCCAGAGTTTATAGTTACTGATGGGGCGGTCTAGGAAACAGAATTCCTTATGAGCATTCTTACCTGTCGTCAGAGTGTTTTGGGAATAAAGATGAGGCCTGTTTAAGAGAGTTTCAGTCTTTCCCAGTCAAATGAGGATGGACTGATACATTTTCTCAGTGTGACTTGTTAATTATTCCATGTGGACTCAGGCACATTAACTTGCTTTGCCACCTTGGGGAAGCCTCTGTCCTCTGGAAATCATTTTCTCTCTCCATGATCTGTAAGACCTTTCATCTCTGCTTCTGCACATACACACACACGTGCACACGCACACGCACACACACTCACCCTCACCACCAACAGTAGAAGCACCACCAACAAGAAGAAGCATAAGAGGTGCCTGAGGGTTCATGTGGGAGCATGTGTCAGGGTACAAGCTCTCTGAGCAGGCGGCACTGAAGGTTTGAGGATATTTACAGTCAGCCTCTTGTTTCTGGGGGCAGAGGGCCAGTCCCCTGAGGATGCAAGAAGTAAATGACATTCAGGAGTAAAGGAAAGAAGTCATTTGCCACTTGCCTTCCACTCCTTAGAAATAATGAGAGAATGTAGACAGAGAAAACAAATCAGGATCATATGGAGTTCCTGTTTGTTAGATTTTTGGCAGTGCTTTCCATCCTGTTTTGAAGAGAAAAGCCCTCTGGGTCTTAGTGGTATGTCAGAAAACTTGGCTTTAGGTTAGGGTGCTGGGTGGCAGCTTTCAGCTATTAGGCCTGCAGAGACCTTGGTGGAGAGAAATCAGATGTATGTGGCCATTTTTTGATTTCTTGGAGTTAAGAACTTTTGATGTAGATCGGGCTGTAGGCTCTGCAGAGGCAGGGATGTGGCGGGGTGTAGGCGGGGCATGTGTAGAAGAGGAGGAGGCAGGTGGCAGGCTGGGGCAGGCCAGAAAGTCTGTGGGCCAGTCCTGATGCCGTTGGAACAGTAATTACTCCTCTTCTACGTCCATGAACTCTTCTTGCAAAATGGGGGCTTAGGGGTTAGGGAGAAGGTAACTCCTCAGACCCACTCCGGCCGTCCCTCGAGGGCTGCCCGGACACAGATCTGTTTTTTGTCTACTTCTCCAGCTTTTCTCTTTAGGTATCATTGGCTTGAGGTTTTACGCCCTCATCCTTTTTTAAGCCATTAAATAAAAACAACCCGTATTTTGTTACTTCTGTCTTAATTCTGACTTTCTGGCTCTCTGGGAGGACACCAGCAGGGATGGATTCTGTTGTGTATATGTTGTGAGGTGTGCAATCAGATTAAAGGGACCAGCAGCCTTGGAAGGGGTTCACACGGTGGTCTCCCGGATATGTGAGGGCGTCGTGGGGCGGGGCGGGCTGTCGTGCTCAGAGGGGCAGTTTGAGTGTCAGGCCATGTACTGAAGCTTCAGGCCTGCCACTGGCCGGGGCGCCGTCTGTCCACTGTTCCTCAGGACTAGCCTGGGCAGAGCCCGGCCCGACCTCCCAGCTCCTGTCAGCCTCTCCAGTGGGAGGGGTCATAGCCGGTGGATGAGGAGGCTTTAGCTCTCAGAGGCTACTCCTTAGAGTCAGAGGGTAAATTTGCAGACAGAGAAGCTCTGTTTTTAGTTTTACTTGATAGTTGGGTGGCTCAGGACCAAAGCCCTTTTGAGGATCAAGTCTAGAAGGAGCGCTTGTGGGTGAGCATGGTGGAGACCTTTGTAGATAGACTCGGGTTTAAATCTTTGTGCCACTTCGCCAGATCTAAGAACGTGGACATGTCACTCGACTGCTTGAAATTTACATTCTCTAAAAGGGGGCAATATTGTTGTGTTACTGTCTCCTGTAAATATCTCCTGGAATGTGGTAGGTGCTCCACAGATGTTTGGGTTTCTTTCTTACCCATCTTCCAGAACATCTTATTTTTAGTAGAATCCCGGCATTAGCCCTAGGCAACTGTGTGACTCACCCTTTCCAAGCTTGCATTTCCTTCCTTAAAATGCATTTAACTAGTTGGTTCCTGGGATCTTACCAGTTGTGATATCGCGAATCTTGGGTCTGTTAATTTAAAGAAAGACAGTGCTGGAAGGGATTATGCTCGGTGAAATAAGCCGTCAAGAAAAAGAAAAATATTGGATGGTTTCACTTAATAGGAATAATGTAGAGGAAACAAATAAGGGATCAGGGAAAAAAAGTAATTATAATAAATTAAAAAATCAAAATCAGTAGGCAACTATAACTCAGAGACACTCTACAGGGAGGAGGAGGGAGAAAGATCCCAACAGGGAGGGGAGGCGCACAAGGGGCTATGGCAGTGGGACACAGGTGACTTTCATGGGGACTGCACCTGAGAGGAGAAAGCATATATTATGCAAAAATGAAGAATGATGTAAAATATATAGAAAAGAAAAAAAAGAAAGACAATGTCTTCTACCCCGAGGCCATATCACCAGGTAGGAGAAAGGAAGTCTGGCGTCCAACTGCTCTTCTCCCTGGGGGAGGGAGAGAGCGGCTTCCTCTGCACTCAGACCCTGCCTGCCTCTCTGGCACAGCGCTGCTTCTGAGGGCATTGGCGGCAGGCCTTTGGGCCAGCTCAGTCTCAGCCATGTTTTCTTATCTCTTCCTCTTGTTTATGTTCTGTCCAGGTTGGGAGGCCACTAAAAGTTAGCGAGTGCCTATTTCCAAGACAACAGCGTCAGAGAGCAGCCGGGAGCATTGACAGCAAGCTTCGGTTCCCTAGAGGGTGAGTACGTTGTGCAGTGACATCTAACCACGCTGATAAAATCAGGTGGTTTCTGAAGTCTCCGCAATTTTTCTGCCTTTGTAGGAGAGAGAGGAAAGTCAGTATTTGTTGCTCACCTATCATAAACCAAATATTATGCTTAGTCCTCCAAGTGCTTTTTATTTATTAACTGGCCAGCCTATCAAGAGTGAGAATCGTCGCGTGAAGCTGACAACCTTCAGAGGTAGTCGATGTAGCTACTATGTGCTGAATACTGTGTGTGAGGCACAGTCCTGTTTGGCATATATCATCTCCCTTAATATGCACAACAACCCTGTGAGAGAAGTGGTGTTATTTTCACCACAAGGAAATGAGCTTGGCGAGGCTCAACAACCTCTCCAGGTTCACACAAGTGCTAAGTGGTAGGACTAGATTTCAAACCTGAGTCATTTTCATGGTGCTGTAATATTTCTCTGTGCAGACAGTTATTTTCTGGTTGAGGCATGACTGGCTTAACCTTTTAAAAAGCAAAGCCAAACAAATAACAAAATACCCCTTCAATCAGCAGCTTGTTTTTTTTTTTTTTTTTTTTTTTAAATCAACAACCTTTCTTAGCCCTTTCTGGATTCTCTGTGCCAGTATCTCATTGGTTGTTGTTGACCAAGGAAGTGGAAATACTAATAAAATAGAAGACCTTTGAGCAGTGGGAGTCTTGGTTGCCAGCAGTGGCTGATGACACTGAGAGGAGAGGTTCTCTGGGGAGTCTGCGGACTGGCTGTCGGTCCGGAATGAGTCGACAGAGGAGAGTAGACTTAGCTCTCTCTCCCAAGCCTCTCGCTCCCACAGCCAGCCACCAGGACCTGGGCATCGGCGGGATGGCACAGGCTCTTCTTTTTTTTTTTTTTTTTTGTGGGACCCTCGCCGGTCGCCAGGGATCGCACTGGCGCTGCAGAGGCTGTGGGCAGCCTCGCAGCCTAGCGCTCAACCGCTGCGCCACCCGGGAGGCCCAGCACAGGCTCTTCTTGAGGGAGTAGGAAGCCAGGCAGACTCTGCCCATTAATTGGTTTGGGATTCAGGTTCATTCCTTTCCCTGGAGCATTTTTCCCACCTCAGGGGACTGGGTCAGTAAATTAATCTTTTCCACCCTTTTACCATTGAGTCTGAAGCTTGTCACTGTCATATGTGGTCTTTATTGTGTAGAAATATGTTCCCTTTGTGCCTGAATTTTTATTATGAATGATGCTGAATTTTGCCAGACACGGTACAGATCTGAAGACAATTCTCTAGATGTCGTTTGGCCAGAGGGCTGTGCTAAGACTCTTACTCCGTTCACTTAAGTGTCTATAAGGTTCTGCCTTGCTCCATCATGGTCTTCAGTACCCAGGAAGGGAAATAAAGATGACATGTTCCGTGTGACATTTGGGAGCGCAGAGCCCAGTAAAGGGGTATAAATATAGAAGCAAGAACCAGGGTTAGGGTTCGAAGAAGCTGTAAGTTTAGGGCAGTGCACTTTGTGGCAGGAACAGTTTGTTGGAAAAGGCTTCAGATAACCCGTGAGGAGTGAACAGTGTTCACCATCAAAATGGGGCTGCGGGAGACTCGGAAGACAAGGGCGGAGGTTGCTTGAAATTTCCCATCTCAGACTCTGCCCTGCCGTGAGTTTCAAGGACCTGAGTTGACCCTGTCTACACTCCAGCCTGCCCTGCCCTGCCCTGCCCTGCCCTTTGTGCCGCCACTGAATTAAAGTCTCCCGAATGCAGAGTCTGTTTGCCGCTTGCCCTGGCACTGTTCACAGTGTGCTGGAGTAAGGGTACAAAACAATAAACACACGAAAATGGCTTCTGACCTTGCATCTAGTAATAAAAACAGCAATACAGCAAACAAAGTCACAAGTAATCACGCGGCTAAATGTGATAAGAAAAGTAAGTAGGGGCTTACTGTGGAGCTGTCCAGAGACGCCATGCCATGAATTGTCTTGGGAGAAAGTGAGTCTTTTCTGTCATTAGAAGTGTTTGAACAGGAGCCGAACGACGACTCCCAGAGAACTTTGCACTGACTGGGATGGGAGGTTGGATAAGGCGGCCCAACCTGGAGAGTCTGTGTGCTAGTTGTGCTGCGAGCCGTGACGTTTGCTTTTCTACAAGACGTATTTGTGATTTTGGGAGCGTAATTGAAGTGTAGTAATTAAATGGAAACACTCAAGAAGTCGTGGAGAGATGTGGACAGCCTAAGGTTTTGAGACAGGCAATGACAAATGGTCAGGGGGAAGCTACTTAAAATGTTTGCCCATTTTTCTTTAGATCAGGGGTTAGCAAACGAATCTGGATCCCACTGCTTGTTTCCGTAAATAGAGTTTAATTGAAACACAACCAGATCATTCACTCATATTTATATTGTGTATCATGCTCCCGTGGCAGAGTAGGGGCAGAGACTGTAGGCTTTACAAAGCCTAAAATATTTACTATCAAACTAAGTCGTGTATATACACAGCATGTTCCCAAACACTGAGGAGTCTGTCAACCTCCTTCTTGAAATAACTTTTGGGAACCGGAAGTGAATTATGGCTGCTGCACTGGGGAAAGGCAAGTTGATTACGTTCTGTTACAGCCTTGCTGGGCCCGCTGGGGCAGGAGGAAGGGCCAGGGCCATGCTGGATAGGGCCACTTGGAACTGGGCTCAAGGGATGGGCAGGAGGGAGCCCCGAGCGAGAGACGTGCATGCTGTTCACCTCCAGTGTGAGCTGGCCAGGCCTGGTAACTGGCATGGAGGTGGACATGGCTTTGGAGGACAGGTGGTCTGTCCTCTTTACCCACCTGTGACTTCTGAGGTTGCAGATAAACAAGTTCCTTTCCAGACCCCATTTCAGATGCAGTTAATCACTTCTGAGACATAGATCAGGCGGTAAAATGTGCTGAGAGAGAAAAGCAGGGTGAGCCAGGACAGGGCACAAAAGGGTGGGTGGGTGCTTGGTGCTTATTAGGTAAGATGGTCAGACCAGTCTTTTTTCTTTTTGTTTTATAATTGGTTCAGCCTTTCTGATTCCCTTACAGGCAAGCGTCAGGTCTAGTGACTCTCTAGCCCTGCAAGTTGCTGGGTGTGTCACAGACTCCACACCTGTCTGCTGTGTACATGCATTTTACCTTGATAAACACCCTTACTGGGGAATGTGGGAGGCACTGGGAAGAAGTACCCACTGCTCCCCTTTCTTCCCTTTGTGGACGGTGCTAGAAGTAGCAGAGCCATTCTTCTAGTGCCAAAAGGTCAGCGATAAGTGACACTCTAGCCCCTTTTCCACCATTTTCTTGTTTACCGTGGTAGACGAGTCGCTATTTTTAGGATTCTACCTGGTGACACTGGCCTTAGGTATGCATGGCCAGATTTACCTTAGGCCTTTTCCAAGTGCTTCTGTTGACATCTGCATAGTGTTGCTGTGAGGTAAGTGGGTTGATTGTATTTTGCTTTTTCAGAGGCAGGATCAGAGAGAGGCGTAGAGAAGATCAAGGACTTGACCAAACCAAGGAGCAGGCCTCAGAGCCTGCTCTGGATCTGGATTTGGAGACCAGGCCTGGGCCCACTGTGCCGCTAGCCTTCTTGCTGTGAGGGGCCCCGCGCCTTAGATGATTGTGAAGGACGCACAGGATGACAGTGACAGCTCATCTTTGCTGTGATGTGTGCAGGGCATTCTGCTGGTGCTTGTATGCCATGTTGTCTTGTGTGGTTGCGAAAACCCCAGAGAAGTAATTTAAAAACAGTGAACGGCGGTGCGAGGACTCTTGGAGAAACCTGTGTTCAGTGCGTGCTGGGCTGTCTGGACTACAGTTGAGCTCAGCGTGTGGCTGTGCTTTGGTCCCTGTATTTACTGTTGTGTTGTATAATTAGAGGCTCAGAACTTTACTGAAACGCCCAAGTTTGTAGGGAGACGACTGTTCAACATGGGAAGGGTCCAGGGGGAGTCCAGGGGCTCAGCTCCTTGACCTTGCTAACCTGCTGAGGAAACAGTATTGACTTGGGTCTCAGTTCCTGCCTTAAGGGGATTGGACCAAAAAAAAAGATGCTTTTCTTTAATGTCCTTTAAAACAATCATAATTCCTTTTATCATGTCAGGAAATAACTGTAATTAAACACCCGGGGCATGTCCTTTCTATTTGTAATCACACTTGTGAGTGTGCGATTTTAAACATAGGTGCCATCCTTCAGCACGTACGTTTTCTATCTCAGTTCATATGATTTTAACTCATCCTTTTATTCATTGTGTACATCTACATGTTTTTTAATTTTAAAAAATCATTGAGGGGCAGTGATCAGCACCACTGTGTATGCACATCTTCAGATGTGGCAGCACTTGGGGTCCTCAGCGCCCCCTCCCCTGGAGGCCTCCCCTCCCGTCCCCCCTGCCTCAGCTCCGTGCTCAGCACTTACTGCTGTGGTTTTAAATAAAAGCTGTAGAACTCTTCCTTCGAATATAGTCATATGGGGGAAGCTCGGTATATCGAGAAGCTAAAATTATTTGCTTTGGTTGATTGAGAGGAGGCGCCTGACCTCGGCCTGCTCAACCCGTCTCCCCTGCTCTTTCCCCAGATGACCCCTGTGGGGATTTGCTGAGCCTGGTTTAAAAATCAGTGGAGCAAATGATCTTTTAGATACATTTTGGCTCCGAAATTCCATTCTAAGGAGCGGAAGAAGATTCTGAAATAGTTTTCTGCGTCTTCCCCAGGACCTGGCCCAGCAGCTCGGCAGCCTGTGAGTGGTGTGGTGGTCTGGTATTTCCGGGGCATAGATCTGGAAGCCAGAACTGGCTTTCTCCAAGTGCTGCATTGGAGGTGGCATGGGCACGGGTGAGGTGGTCCAGAGCATTCTGCAGGCCTCACCCGATGCCTCCTGCACCCGCTCTTGCCACCTGTTTGCCCCTTTGTGTCGTGAGTGGTGGTCAGGGACAGAGATTTTACTGCTTTCTCTTACTGGTTGGTGCCAAAGGGCCATTTACTAATCAGGAGGCCCGTTCAGCCAGGTATTGATCAAATTTTCAGCATTAAGTATATGCTAGGCCTCCTGTTGGGTACTGAGAATACAGTGGTGAATAAGAAAACAAGATGAGGGACAACATAAGGAAACTCAGTGTGAATCCAGTAGAGCAAGGCTGAGATGGGGTCTGGGCAGCAGACTGAGAGCCGGAGAGAGAAGCCTCATCTGGCCAGGGTTTCAGGAAGGAGGTGCTCCAGGAGCTTCTGGAGGAAGTGCTGCCTGAGGTAGGATTTGAAGAAAGTCCTGGAGGTCAGATTGCGAGGCCTCTGGGATGATGAGGGTACAGAGCCCTGCAGGGTAGGGAGTGAGGCTGGAGAGTGCAGTTCTGCTTGTGTTTGGGGAGCTTGGGTGTTTGCTGGCAAAAGAACTGTAAGGGTGAGGTGGGATAGCAGTTTCCAGATGTGTGTGGTGTGTATTTGATGGGTTGAGCTTTTTCATTTCTTGTGCAGGACTGGTTGATTCATATCAGATTCTTTTCTTTTTTAAAAATATTTATTTTATTTATGCATATAAGAACTAGGTAGGCCAGAGGTGAGGGTGGCGAGACAGGAGAGGTCTGCTGTGCCTGTGTGGGTCAGCTCCCTGGCCAGGGATCAAACTTGTACCACAGTTACTGGCAATAGCTTGATAGCACTGAGACTTTAACCCCTGTGCTACAGGGAGGCCCCATGTCAGATTCTTGAATGGAATGTGAAACTGGCTCTAAAAGCCAAATGAATGTAAAAAAGCATTTCCTGAACTCTGCTAATTCAGAATTATAATTTATAAATGGGGTCCTACTAAAGCTTAACATTATTACCTTCTGTTGAAAAGGGAATTCATGAAAACGACTGCAAACTAGTATAAATAACATTTGTTGAGGGAATGTTTCAATTGGGGATAAGCTGCTTTATTGAGGTTTATCTATGGTAAAGTTCATCTCTAAAGCATGCGATTTAATGGCTTTCGAGCATCTGTATGATAAACTGTTTCAAAGCACTCTGTAAAGCACCATGTATCACTTGTCTTCCAGTAACTGCTACGCCAGTGCAGATCAGCATTTAAAATTGGCTTCTGGCCCAGCCCTCAGCCTGTGCCCCGTGCCCCGAGCGTGAACTGGGAAGGTGTTGTGTGTACACACCACTAGGCAGGAGGCTAAAACAAGTGTTTTTGTGGCACTCAAGGAGGGAGAAGTGGATGGGAACAAGGGGAGTTTCTTTAATGTAAATGTAAATGGAGGGGTTCTCTTCTTCCCGGCTCCATTTTTAAGATGGAGGAAGCATGTGGATGTGGAGGAAAAGGAGAGGCTCCACAGAAGCAGAGAGGAGAGGGCTGAGAAGCTTTGGAGAGGGAGAGGGTCTGGCTATCCGGGTTTGCAAGGCCGAGGCACCGCACTTGGCACACCTGGAGCCGGTGCCAGCTCTCGGCTGGGCGTGGGCGCCCCCTGGCGGCCGCAGGTGTTCAGTGCAAGTCAGGGGTCCGGGGTTGAAGAGAAGAGGCCTTGGGCCTCCCTTCGCATTCCGCTCTGGCTGGTTCTCTTTTGCCTTGGGCAGAAACTGAATCAGTTTTTCTCTCTCAGATGGTGGCTGTTCCTCCCTCCTTCGCCCTGATTTTAAGAGCACAAGAGACTCTGGTGATGGCTCACGGGTGACGTGGTAGGAATTTTATGGGGACTCTGTGCCTGAGTACAAAAATGAACTGATGTAATATATATAATTTTTAAAAGGGCCAAATATATAAACAAGTAAATTAGTAAATCTGATCTAACCGGGCCACATCATCCTGTGCCCTCCTTGTGGCCGTTCCCCCGACCCCCTGCCTCGTTACCCTGCGTTCCCAGTGGCTGTAGCTTCATGCTTATGCCACTCTCTCCAGCAGTGCCCTGGTTCCTCTCCGGTGCTGTCAACATGCAGTTGGGTGATCATGGCAACACTTCTGCCTCAGTCATTTCCTTCTTCCATTGCTCATCTTACCCCTGCCCCCCACATTCCAATCTTCATACTTTAGTTATTTACTCGTCTTTCTTATATTTTGGGGTTACATTCTTGCTCCTCAGGTGCACACGTTCTGCTCACCCCCAACCAAACCACTCTTGCCAGTACCCCATCTGCTCCCCCATCTTTTCCCTCTGGTAACCATTAAATTCTTTCTTTAAGTCCAAGATTTATCCCTAACCATAGCTGTGGAATATTTTTATTTTTTATTAAGGAGGCCTTTTTTTTTAAAAAAAAAGATCTATTTATTTATGCATACCAGAACTGGGGTACAGGCCAGAGATAACGGGGGAGGGGGGTGAGAGGATTCACCAGAGAGTGGGGAGCAGAACAGGCAGACCCACTGAGATACACTGCTGAGGGGAGCAGTGGAGAGACAGGAGAGGTCTGCCGCACCATTTGGGTAGCTCCTTGGCCGGCCAGGAATTGAACTCCTGCTGCAGAGGCTGCGGACAGCTCCACAGTGCTGTGCATAACCCCTTGCGCCACCAGGGAGGCCCCAAGGAGGCTTTTTTTTAAAATTAAGCCTGAAATTCTTTACCCCCATCATCACTTTGAGATGGTGACCTTGCTTTCTGTTGCAGTGAAAAAGCGAAAACAAAGAGAGAACGTCTGTCATCTCCTCCCTCCTTCCCCTCTGACATCTGTCCCCGTGTCAGCTGTCCATGTGCTCCAGCTGCCCTGCTGGTAAACTGTCTGCCAGAGCCCCTTCCTGTCTTCCACCCATGGACAATGCTTCTGAAGCTTTTCTCTCCACTCTATTATAACTCGTCGAGTGTCCCGATTTTCCTGGATCACAGTCCATCAATACACCAATGTGCATTCTCTCCCATCCTAGACCCCCTTGAGAGCCCTTCCATCATTGACCCCCATCATTTGCTCTGCTTGGGAGCTGAATCCAAAAATTATCAAGTATGGTCTCCAGTTCATTTCCCTAATTTTCTCTCTTAAATTCATTCTAATGAAGTTTTCATCCCCATTGCTTTACCAGCGCTGCTGTTGACAGGGTGACCCCACTGTCAAATTGCTGGGCATACCTGTATGCAGGCTTTTTGCGGGCCTAAGTTCCAGTTCCTTTGGGTAAATACCATGGGATGCAATTGCTGGATGGTATGGTACGAGTGTGTTTAGTTTTGTCAGATGTCACCAAAATAATCCTACCATTTTGCAGCTAGCTGCAGTGGGGGCTCCACATCCCACAGCACTTGGGGCGTTGGTGTTCGAGATGTTGGCCATTCTGATAGGAGTGTAGTGGTGTCTTCTTTTAATTTGCATCCTCCTAGTCACATATGTTGTGGAACATCTTTCCACATGCCATTTGTATGTCTCCCCCCCCCCCCCCGATTCCATTTTTTATTGTATGTCTTTTTGGTGAGGTGTCAAGATCTTTGACGTATTTTTATATTGGGTGGTTTGTTTTCTTTTCCTTGGTTTCTAAGAGTTCTGTGTATATTTTAGATGCCAGTCCTCTACCAGAGATGTCTTTTGTAAATATTTTCTCCCAGTCTGTGGCTTGTCTTCTCATTCTCTGAAAATTGTCTTTTGCAGAACAGAAGTTTTTAATTTTTTTTAGAAGATTTATTTATTTATGCATACAAGAGCTGGGGTGTAGGCCAGGGTTGGGGGGGGTGGTGAGAGGATTCACCAGAGACAGTGGGGAACAGAACAGGCAGCTCTACTGAAATACACTGCTGAGGGGAGCAGTGGGCGAGACAGGAGAGGTCTGCTGTGCCATGTGGGTAGCTCCCTGGCCGGGGATCAAACTGGTGCTGCAGTGGCTGCGGACAGCTTCATAGTGCTGACGCTTAACCCCTTGCACCACCAGGGAGGCCCCAGAAGTTTTTAATTTTAATAAAGTACAGCATGTCAATTTTTTTCATGTCTTCAGTGTCATTGCCATACCAGGGTCATCTAGATTTTCTTCTCTGTTATCTTCTAGGAGTTTTATGATTTTATCTTTTGCAGTTGGTCTGTGATCCATTTTGAGCCAGTGTTTGTGAGAGGTCTAAGATTTGTGTCTAGATTAATTTGTTTTCACGTGGATGTCCATTTATTCTTAACACCATTGATGGAAAAGACTTACCTCTGCTCCACTGTGTATTGCTCCTGCCTCTTTGTCGAAGCTCAGTTGACTGTTTAAGTGGGCTTGTTTCTGGGCTCTCTGATCGATTCCATTGATTATTTTGTTCCTCTCCCAGCACCACACAGCCTGAAGACCGTGACTTTGTGTCTTGAATCGAGTAGTACCACCCTCTAGCTTTGCTCTTCAGTATTGTTTTAGGTGTTCTGCGTGTCTTGTCTCTGTGTATAAACTTTAGAATCAGTTTGTCCACATTCAGGGAATAACTTGCGTTGAATCTGTTGGTCAGCTTTGTTCCTCTGCATTTGTTCCGGAGGCCTCATGTAAGTGGAATCACACACTGTCTTATGCAACTGGATTAGTTCACCTGGCACCGTGTCCTCAATTCACACCTGAATTCCACTTATAAATATCCCTGTCCTTGGGGGAGAGGAGACGCTAAGGTGGGCGTGGGAAGGTAGCTGTAGCGTCGTGGAGCTCGCCGTTCACACAGCAGGTGATGGGTAGGTTTATATCACTTCCAGTCACGCTCGCTCGCTCGCGACAACTTTTCCTTACACAGTTCTCAGGGAGGTTTAGAGCTTAGGTACCCGGGGCGCTCTGTGTGTTAGCGCCACGCCAGGGATGCTGGGGGCCCTTCACCGCACCCTGCAGTTAGGTAAGACGGAGGCTCAGCTTCCCTAATGACCCTCCTGAGATGATGGCCATGGGCACCGAGGTGCTTCTGTGTCTGGGCCGCGCGCCGTCCAATGAGGTGTCAACACCGCCTCCTCCTGAGGGACCAGTGTTCTCCTGCAGGCTCATTTGAATTCATTCCGGTTGAGCTCCTGCTCTGTCCTAGGCTCAGGGTTACCTGCCAGAGCGCTTTATCACTGGGGCTGAAGTGCAGGTGTTCGGTTTACTGGCTGACATGCTTTCTGCTTCCTCCTCTAGACAGATGATGGTCTCCAGCTGCCAGAGAAGGTTGTGGATGCCACGAGAAAGGTAACCAGTCCTCACCCCCGTGAGCGGAAGCGGATGCCACTGGGAGCCCTCGCAGGCTGGCAGTAGAGATGGCCGACTTCACAGGCTATAAGGATGCTGCCTCCAGCCGCCACCTGCGGTTTAAGTTACAGAGCCTCAGCCGCCGCCTGGATGAGCTGGAGGAAGCCACCAAGAACCTCCAGAAGGCCGAGGATGAGCTCCTGGATCTCCAGGACAAGGTGATCCAGGCGGAAGGCAGCAACTCCAGCATGCTGGCCGAGATCGAGGTGCTGCGCCAGCGAGTGCTGAGGATCGAAGGCAAAGACGAGGAGATTAAGAGAGCCGAGGACCTGTGCCAGCTGATGAAGGAGAAATTGGAAGAGGAGGAAAACCTCACTCGGGAGCTGAAATCCGAGATCGAGCGGCTTCAAAAGCGGATGACTGAGCTGGAGACCCTGGAGGAGGCCTTCAGCAGAAGCAAGAACGACTGCACCCAGCTCTGTTTAAGCCTCAACGAGGAGCGAAATCTGACCAAGAAGATCTCCTCTGAGCTGGAAACGCTCAGGGTCAAAGTAAAGGAGCTGGAATCTTCCGAGGACCGCCTGGATAAAACCGAGCAGAGTTTGGTGTCAGAGCTGGAGAAGCTCAAGTCCTTGACGTTGAGCTTCGTAAGCGAGAGGAAATACTTGAATGAGAAGGAGAAAGAGAATGAGAAGCTGATCAAAGAGCTCACTCAGAAGCTGGAGCAGAACCGGAAGACACACCGCGACCACGTGAGGAACACGTCCAACCTGGAGAGGAATGACCTGCGCATCGAGGACGGCCTCTCCCCCGCCCTGCCCTGCAGGGAGTCCCGGCGCAAGGGCACGCTGGACTACTTCAAGCAGGTGGAGAATGAAGCGAGAAACAGGTCGGAAAACGAAAAGAACCGAAACCACGAGGACAACAAAGTCAAAGACCTCAACCAAGAGATTGAGAAACTTAAGACGCAGATCAAACATTTCGAGTCTTTGGAAGAAGAGCTGAAGAAAATGCGGGCCAAAAACAACGACCTTCAGGATAATTACCTCACTGAGCAAAACAAAAACAAGCTGCTAGCCAGCCAGCTGGAGGAGATCAAGCTGCAGATCAAGAAACAGAAGGAGCTGGAGAACGGGGAGGTGGAAGGGGAAGACGCTCTCCTGTCTGGCAAGGGCCGGCCAGAGAGGACTAAGTTCAGGGGCCACGAGGCGCCGGCGTCCAGGAACTCGCCGCGGGAGCAGTCCCCCCAGCACCGGCGGGAGCGGCACCGCCACCGGGAGCTGCTCAGCAGCGACAACTATGCCCTGAGCCACCGGCAGCTGTCCTCCCCCAGCTTCCCCGGCAGGCGGGCAGCCAAGGCCCTGGGCGTCGACCCCGGGGCGCAGGAGGCCAGGGGCCCCTCCCAGGGCGAGGGCAAGAAGGCCAGGGAGCAGCCGTCGGTGCTGAGCCGCTACCCGCCAGCCGCGCAGGAGCACAACAAAGCTTGGAAGGGGACGCCCAAGCCAGGCGCCGAGAGCGGGCTGAAGGGAAAAGTAGAGAAGGCGTCGCGGACGTTTAATGATGCGGCCCACGGAGCTCTGCCCAGCGACGTTTTGGGGCGAGTGGACAAAACCAATGACACCTCCTCAGAGGCCCTCTTTGGCAAGAGGGGCCAGGTGCCGGGCAGTGGGGGGCAGGCTGCAGACTCTGGCAGTGCCAAGGCCACCGCGGCTTCGGCCTCGTCTCGAAGGTGCCCCTCAGAAGGGCTCTCCAAGGGCAAAAGGGCCGCCAACGGCCCAGAGGCCGATGCCACTTCCTTGAACTCCAAGGCTCCACTTTTATCCAAGTATCCTTACGGCGCCAAGAGCCAGGAGAACATCCCCCAGGGCTTTTCTACGCCCAGTAAAGAAGGCGCTGACCAGCTGGTGGCAGTGGCGGAGGACAGCGGCACGCATGAGGCGCTGAGGTGCCGCGTCATCAAGTGCGGTGGCCGAGAGAAGCCAGACTCAGAGGACGACATGGACACGGCGTCTCTCGTCACCGCCAAGCTGGTGAACACCACCATCACCCCGGAATCGGAGCCCAGACAGCCGCCCAGCTCCAGAGAAAAGGCCAAGCCGCGGGGGGGACTTCGAACCTCCCTGTTTGAAAACGATAAAGATGCTGGGACAGAAAATGAATCTGTGAAGCCCGCCAGGGCCGCCGCCAGTGTGGCCGAGTTCCCGGAGACCAGCAGCGCAGGGGGCAAGAGCCACCGGCCCTTCAGCCCCAGGGAGGCCTTGCGGTCCAGAGCCGTCATCAAGCCCGTCATCATCGACAAGGATGTGAAGAAAATCATGGGGGGCTCCGGGACCGAGGCCACGCTGGAGAAGCAGAAGCCCACCCCCAAAGCAGGAACCAACAAAGTGATGAGCAGCATCACCTTCTACCCCTCCGACAGTGGCGCCCCCAGGGCCGGCCTGGCCGAGGCCCCTCGGGAGAGACACACCTCCACCAGCAACATCCAGGTGGGGGCCCCCGAGCTCCCGCCGCTTGGCAACCACGTCAGCTCCCCCTTCGAGCTCTCCATCCACAAGCACGACATCACCCTGCAGTTCACAGAGGCTGAGAGAGTGGGGGACGGGCCCCTGAAGAGCAGGCCCGAGACGGTGGTGTCTCGGAGCAGCATCATCATCAAGCCGTCGGACCCCGTGGAGCGGAACAGCCACGCGCCCGCCGCGGACACGCACAGGTGGAAAAGCCACGGCGCCCCTTTGGAGGTGGGCTCGTCCGACGCCAGGCACGTCACCGTGCGGAACGCCTGGAAGAGCAGGCGGGACTTGGACTCCCTGGAAGACCCCCCGAGCCGAGTGGGCAGACACGTGGAGGCCACCCACGCCTACACCCAGAGATCGGCCACAGACTGTTCAGACCTGGAGCCGCCCAGGGCGGCCCGGAGGGCAGGGGAGGCAGGCGGCCCCCCCGAGCCGGCCTCCAGGAGGACCCAGAGCAGCCTCACGGTGTCGGAGGTGCTCACGCGTCGGAAGCGCGCGGGAGACGCCGCCGCGGGTGCAGCCTGGAACCACTCGGCGGGCGCGGTGAGCCCCCCCTCTTCCCCTCTCCTGTCTCTTCTCCTCTTCTCCCCGCTGCCCTGGCTTGTGTGACCCGGGATTGTGGGAACCGGGGAGGGGGGAAGCCCAGGGCAGACACGGCGGGTAGCTGAGAGGGCCGTGGAGGTGCGGAGTTGGGCCTGGAGGAAGAAAGGGCCTTGGAGGAGGCGTTGGGCAGGGAGCAGCGTGAATTTCCAAATTCCTCCTCCCGGTTTGCCTCTCCCCTTGCCGGCCTGTGTGAAGCCCACGCAGGAGAGCCGGCTCCGAGCTCGCGGAGCATCGCGGGCACCAGCACCAGCGATAGCTGCTAGGACGTTCCAGGAGGACCGGGCCCCGCTGTGCTCTCTGGGCAGCAGGTGGGAGCCTGGTGCCTGAGTTCTTGCTGCGGGTCAGCCCCTGTGGCTGTGGCAGCCCTGACCTGTTTTCCAAGCCTGTGCCCCCGGCACCATTCCGGCCCTGCGTGTCCTCAGGGGGCGGCGGGCAGCGCCGGCCCCCTCTGCGGTGCCTCACGGGATGGGTGAGCCAGGGCCAGCTGCCTGAGTCTGGACTGTTAGGAGACAGCATTGGAAGGGGAAGCCCAGGAGGGTCTGTCAGGTGGAGTCTGTGGCGATAAAAGACGCCGCGGATAGGGCTGTTACTCCTCCCGTTAAAAGGCAGGTGACTGTTAACCTGGAAAGCCCTGTCACCGCCCTGCCTTTCTGTCTCTCCTGCAGCCCTAGGGCAGGCAACAGCCCCGTATGCCAGATGTGGAAATCAGGGTCACAGTGCCTGACCCGAGACCACCCCAGTGAATTGCTGCTGGAAGAGCTGAGATTTGAACCCAGGATTCTTACCTTGAAATCCAGGGTTCGCTCTGTCCTGCCAGCCCGACTCTCGCTGCCCCCGTGACCTTTGATGTGCATCTGGGAGGGCCGGGACCAGAGAGAGAACGAGGGAGGTAGAATTCGGGGAGGGGCTGAGAACACGGGGACACCTGAGCGACACGGGGTGAGGGCCGGCTGCGACGGAAAGGGAAGGCGTGAGCTTGTCGGTGGCTTGTGGCTGGGAAGTAGCACGGAGTCTTCAGCAGCCCTCTCTGCCCCCTGCCCGCCGCGCTCCGCTGAGGAGCACGGGCCTGTGTGCGCAGAACGGCCGCCTCCCGCTTGGGATGCCACGCCCGCGCCCCCATCCCAGACCTGGCCCCGTGCGGCCACCAGTCCGCTCTGGGTGCTCCCCGCAGGTGCTGCAGCTCCCGGTCTGCCCTGGGTCCCAGGGAGCTTTTTTTGGCCCGTGCAGTGAGGCTGTGGCCTGTCTGGGCTGCGACGTCCCTCTGCCTAGTGCGGGAGGACCCACTGTAGGAGTGAGGGTGTCTTCCCCACTGTCCTCCACCACTCACGCTTGTCATCTGTCGGCACAGGAGGAAGGCGAGGACTGCGCGCCCGGGGTCTGCAGGCGATCGCACAATTCCCTGGATCAGCCCGACCTGCCCGCGAGGCAGGGGCTGCCAGAGCCGGGGAGAGCACGAGCCGAGGAGTGGTCACGGCCCAGCAGGCCTTGTGCTGAGGAAAACTGAGCCAGCCGGTGAGGTCGCTGCTCCCCCGCCCCTGCTTCTCCACTCTTCCGCCTTCCCGCCCCGTGGACCCAGGCCAGTTGACCATGCTGGACACCGAGCCTCGGCCTGGAGACTGTGGCAGGGAGCTCGGCGGGGCTCAGGGCGTCCGGCCAGTTGGCCAGAGGGGCTGAGACTGCAACTGGAGAGTCACCTGCGCCCAGCCTTCCCCGACGCACGAGTCCTCGCCTTGACCTTGTCCCCAGGGTAGGACGGACCACGCTGGCCCCCACATGGGGCAAGATACAGAGACACTTTGTGTCCCCACCAGAGCGCAGCTGAAAGCTCTTTTCTGCTCCTTGGTGGGGGTGTTTGTGTCATGGGCAGCCCCCTCTCTGGCTGGTGTTCTGGTGTTTTAGTCTCCTCACTGCATCCAGCTCACTCTTCATTGCCCGCTAAGACTTGCGAACTCTCAGACGCCTCTCGGGCCTCCATTCCTTCTCCTGTTGAGTTCCTGGTGGTTTTTGTTTGTTTGTTTTAAACAGAAGAGATCTGTGCTGCCTCTAGGGATTATGGGACTGCCCTCTGGGTCAAAGCATCTCTGGCCTGGGCCCCGGCTGACCATTGCTCCCTAGGGGCAGGGCACACGGGTACCCACCTATTGGAATGACGTCATTCCTCCCCCACCCCGGCTCTCTGCTCACCAGAGCAGGGGCGCGCCTCCTGCTCACTCCCCGGGCAGACAGTGCTGCTCCTCTCCTGCGGCTGAGACTCAGGCTCATTTACTTCACCGTTTCCACCTTAGGAACGGCCCCAGACTCAGCGGGGCCCAATGCAGCAGGGGCTGGCGGGCGGGCCGAAGCCTTTTCCCCTTTACTCACTCCACAGAGCAATAGCTCCGGGAGGCATGGCTTTGCTCCCCCTCCTTCGTCCCCCACGGGGAGGCGTCGCACTTTACCAGGCTGATGCATCCCTACGAGGCAGGCCCAGGCGTCCCCAGAGTCTCTGCCGATGGCACTGGCGGAAGAGCGCGCCCTGCGTGCCTGCCGCGGGCCCGGGTGCGCAGAACTCCGCAGGAGCAAACCTTTCAGGAAGTCACATGACTGCGCGTCGGTAGTTTCCTTACACTGATCCTCTGGGGAAGCCGAAAGAACCGTGGCCGAAAGAACCGTGAGTTCTTGGCAGTGCTTTCATCTCTGCCCGGCAGTCTCTCGATTCGGAGGGACCCGCTGTCCAAGCTGCCTTCGGGAGGCAGATTCGTTGCCTTCGTGCTGAGCGCGCGTTAGTCGAGAAAGCAGAATTGTCGTGAATTTTACTCCTGGCTGTCCGGGCGTGGGCATGCCGTCCTTTGGGGCCAGTTGGTCTGTAAGAGGGGTCCTTTGAGGTGGATGGTCTCTGGGGGCCCTGAGCTTGGCATTCTGATGCTTCGCCTCCACAGCCCCGTGAGGGGTGATCATCCCTTTTGGAAGACGCTGTCCACACAGGCTTGGGGAGTGTGTCTTCTCTGCTGCCTCGATTGTTCTTCTGGACCTATTTTCGGTTTTCCAGTCTATAAAACAAGGGGGGGTAAGTTAGATGTCTCTGTAGCCCTTCTGGCACCAACCTGGCCCGACACCCCAGGCTTTCCTGGCTCCCTGCCAGGGGCCACGCGAGGGCCTGTCCTCCCCCCTCCTCTGCTGCTCCAGCCGCCTTCTCTGTGTGCTCAGCGGGGACCGGCGTCCACCCTCGTCTGCATCAGACCGGGCAGCCCTGTTGGAGGGCTGGGGCGCTCCTACCTTACTTTCAGGGACAGGAATGCTTTGCTCATATTCCTCTTCTGGAATTTAATCAATCTAAGTGCATTCTCCACACCCCTGCCTCAGATGTTCCACTTGAGAACCTCTTTGCAAGACCTCTTCCTGCTGCTTCTCCTGGGTCGCTGACCAGACACTAGCTTGCTTCAGGCTGCAAGCCCTCCCTTGGAGCCTCCCTGCCATTCTTCTTCACTGGTTGGCAGCCCTGAGAGTCCAAAGGAAACTGACCGCTGTGGTGGTCAACTGAGGCTATGGGAACCTGAGCCCGGGGCTCTGCTCGGCCGGTGGAAACTGGACACCAAGCCATGCCTGCAAGATCTCGCCAACAATTCTGGTCTTTGGGCTCTGGAGCCCTGGACTCCGGTGCTGTAGCTCCTGGTGCCAAAGTCTGCATCTTTCCACATTTCAGCAGCACCAACATCTGCCGCTACCCAGAATGCCCTGTGGCGGGGGGAGGGGGGGCGGCGGCTGTGGTGCCTTCCTGCTGGGACTGTGACCTTAAAAGTCTGAGTGCAATAGGGTTTGATTGTAACAGTTACTTCAGGATATTTTGTTTCCTTAATCGGCACACTTCCTGTTACCGCTGTAAAGTAGATTTTATTTTTGAACATCCTCAGCATTGCAGAAAATACTATTTGTGATAGCAAGTGAAGGCTGGAGGTGCAGGTCCTCTCAGCCGCGGATGGCTGGCAAGGCTGGCTCTCAAGTTCCAAAGTCGGAAGATGCGTTTCCGAAGAGCAACCTTGATGTGACCGTCTGGACCCGGGCCTCACCGTCGGGGTCCTGGAGGAAACTTCCAAATAAAGGGGAGACGTGGTAATGGAATAGTTGCCTAATTAAGCCAAATATACCTGCTGTCCCAACCAACACACCCACTGTTTGACAAGCCTCTTCTGCAGCTTGGCTCTAAGCTCCAGTTTTCCTGGCAGGTGTATGGTTACGGGGGCTTCTTAGTGAGCCTGGGAAACCCGGTCTCCGGAGCTGCTTGGCTGGAGGGAGTAGAGCCGGCTAAATGCCAGGCGCTGGTCTCTTCCACCTGCTGTCGCCCGTCTCTTGCCACTCGGATACAAAGAACCACCGAGAAAGCTGCAGGGATGGTGAGCAAAGCTGTGGCTGTTTCTGCCTTGGCCGGGCGACGACGCGCTTACAGCGTGGGTTAAAGGGATTCGCAGTGGGGCCGGGGACGCCACCCTCGGCCGCAGGCAAGCTTGCACATAAATTATTCCCCTCTGCCGGGGTCTGGGGGGGTCTGTATTGATCTTGAAGGGTCGTCCCGGGGCAGTTCTGGTTCTTAGTGTTTAGTAGGTCGTGCCAAGTGCCGCCATGCTTCCCGGTGAAGGAAGGAGGGGCGCGGCCTCTGGGTCCCGCGCTGCCTTTGCTGGTGCAGGGTGGTGGTTGCTGACAGGACTGCTGCGGAGGAGCTGCTTTTCAGGATTGTCTTTTGACCACCCCGGCTGGGGCACGGGGTTTTCCTCCAGGCCTCACAGCCAAGGTCAGAGAAAGGGGCCCTCTTTTCCTGCTGCTTCACAGCTCAGAACATGTATTGAATGGAATGTATTTTTAAGAGAATAAAGTCTATTTTTTGTATTTTAAAGATAGTGAGGGCTAGGGAGGAAGCCCTCCAACTGTTACTGCATTGTAGGCCCCCCGGCGGGGGTCAGTATCTGTTAGTCCACGCCTGCTCACTCAGGCAGGTGCTCTGGCCTCGCGCCTGCCTCTCGGAGTCTGGCGCAGCGTCTTCTGCGTTCCTGCTCCGAGCCCGGGACCAAGGAGGCCAGAGCCTGTTGCTGGAAACCAGGGCGAAGCCATGAGCAGGGACTCAGGGCCCTTGGGTGCATGTGTATAGCGGGGGCTGCCTGACTGCATGTATCCTCTGGCGCCGATGCTGTCGGCTCTGCAGCACACATTATCAATAAAGCTCCCTAGTTTCCATGGACCGTGTGCGTGTGGTGCCGTCGTGTTGCTCTCCGCTCTGCGCGCGGCGTAGTTAATGACATACTCGGCCAGTCCCTGGCGCTGTGGGGGCTGGAACCGTAGCCGAGGCTCGGAAAAGGACACGTCCAGAACCCACGTGACCATCTGCGTTAGAATCACAGCGGCGATTTCATAGCCACATTTTATTTTCAGGCTCCTTGTCTTGTTACCAAAAAAACCCCCAAACTGAAACCCACGCTGCCCAGGCCATTGATGAAAAGCCCCTAACTTGAATCGGACACACCCCAGCCCCTCCCCCAAGGTAACGATGTACAAGAGCCGAGCTGGGGTTCGCAGACGGGTTACGGGGCTACGCATAGCCGCCGCAGGCTGCCCTCGCCTGCTGTCGCTTACACCCCTTGCCTGTCCTGGTGGAGGCCCCACTGCTGCCAGTCACTCTGGACTAAGGACAGGGTCCTTTCCCTCCTCACCTCCCGGTCAGACCAATAGAACATGCCCCTTAAATCTTTTTTTTTTTTAATTTTTTTTAAAATTTTTTAATTTTTTAAAAAAGACTTACTTATACAAGCACTGGGGTGTAGGCCAGAGGAGCAGGCGGGTGAGAGAATTCACCAGAGACAGAGCGGGGAGCAGAACAGGCGGATTGACGGAAATACACTGCTGGTGGGGAGCAGCGGGTGAGGCGGGAGAGGTCTGCCACGCCATGTGGGTTGCTTCCTGGCCGGGCAGGAATTGAACCCGCGCTGCGGAGGCTGCCAACAGCTTCACAGTGCAGCGCTCAACCCGCTGCACTACCGGGAAGGCCCCGTCCCTTAAGTCTTAAGAAAACTTCATGTAGGCTGACTGTAGGGCGTAGCTGACACACAGATCTGATTTCCAGAATAGGGTCACTCGCACACACTAGTGCAGTAGCCTAGTCTGGTGGGGGCCCTTGGGAATGATGAGGTACTGTCCCCCTTGTGAGATGTTTTTACTTTTGTAGCAAAATGTGACTTTGCAGATGTGACTGAGGATTTTGAGATGGAGAAAGGATTTGGATGAGACTGAAATACAAAATCAGAAGTATCCTTACGATGGGCGACGGCAGCAGAACAGGAGCAGCAGCTGTGGTGGCGGCAGCAGGGACTGAGGAAACCTCTGAAGGCAGAAGACAGCCACGAGCCATGGGACACAGGCGGCCACTGGAAGCTACAAAAGGCAAGGAGATGAATGTAGTACCTAGGCCAGGAGTAGAAAGTTCCACCGCTCGTGCAGGGAGAATGGGCATGAGAGCTGAACGGGCCTCCAGAGGCCTAGAGTATAGTGTTTCATCTCGCGAATTTTAGTTTCCCGATATCCTCATGACTGATCTGCGGCTTCATGTCCTTAGCACACCGCCCTCAGCCCAGGGGGGAATCGAGCCAGGGAGCCGGGGAGCCCACTGCTTCTGTCAGACCACTCTCTCCTCCTCAAAGCATGGGGGAATGGGCCTTTCCAAAGACGTGGCACCCATCTAGTATACAACCTGAATCCCAAAGGAAAACCACGAAAGACAGGTCTAATTTTATATGAAGTTTTATTCTCAAATATAAAAAGACCACCACACACCAAGAGACATGTTCTCTCGCAGCGCTCACTTGCCTCAGTCTTCACGAAGAGCACAGACTTCCACGCTAACGGGCTAGTGTCTCCCTAGCTCTAAGTCACTCAAAGCAGACACCGTCCTCCGCCATTCACCAGGATGAGCTCCCGCGGCTGGTGGAGACCCCGGTGCCGGCGCGGCCCAGTGGAGGCCAGTATTGCTAGAAGAGCTTTGCTTGCACAGCAAAGGACGCACGCGGGCCTCTCCCCTTAGACCTTGGTCTCACATGCTTGGGGACTGCTGCGCAGGGACACTTGGTGTGGCCTGGCGAGGCAGGGTATACATGGCTCCCAAGAACTGGTCTGCGATCCTTCCTGCTTCTCGCAGCCCACTCAGCAGAGCACCGTGAACTGTGGCTGGGTAGTTCCGGATTGTATGTTCTCCAGCAAAGAAGAGTCGTGGAATTGGCTGTTTCAGAAAAAGGGAAAAACAAAGCAGGTAGGTAGCAAATACACCTTCTGTGCCTTTATTTTTGTATTTGAACTGCCAATTCCTGTTGGCCTTTGAAGGCTGACCCCTCAAACCACTAGTTCATCATCCTACCAAAAAGGGTTTTCCTGTAGCGGGCATTTTTGTAGAACTGACACTAGTAGAAATGGGAACTCTCAGCCCAGCCTCAGGTCAAGGGTGATGTTGAACTGTACCCGCGCTCATCGCCAACTCTGGGGACACCCAGCTCTAGGGCACCCTTTTTCTGAGGCTGCATCTACTGGGGCTTCCTGTCTGCTCTGACCAGACTGCATTTGTTCTCACTCAGAAAGTTTTACCTTTCAGCTCAAGGCAGGCCTTGCCACTGAGGCCTGAGGAGCCCTTACTGTTCTCTGGAACAGGGTCTGGCCTCATCCAAGTAAGGGCCCGTGGTTATTTCATGCCCCAAAGGTCCCTCCTAGTTAGGAGCCTGTCGACCATTTTACAAGCTGGAGTTAAATTTAAAATGCTTGTGGTTTATTTTTTTCAGGGATTAAAAAAAAACAAATTAAGGAAAAACTGGTTTTTACTTTTCCATTCTGAACAGATTGCCTAAATTTACAAAGCCAGAATGTGAAAAATCAGATCTAAGTAACCTTCCCTGTTGCTGTGGGGTTCTCTGAACCAATCTCGAGGCTAAAACTAAAATCTAGGGACAGCAGCAGCACCCTGAGATCCCGGCCTCTTCCAAAATAAGCCCATGAGCACTTTGCCAGTTTCTCACCTGGGGGGCACCTGGAATAGAGGGGCCAGGAGTGATGGGCTGAGCCATTAAATCGTAGTCGTTTCCAGATGACCCTGCAGCTACATAAGAATAGGAGCCCCGGGCCCAGGGATCAGCACGCCAGCGAGACACCACAGTTTCTTTGGGCTATAGGAAAAAACCACAAACAGAAGCCATTACTGGACGCCAAGGATGAACCAGTCCTCTGAAAGGTGGAAAGGCGTTGGTGAGTGGGGATACAAGGGGGGGGGGCGAGTAGGGGGGAGGCACAACAGACGCGAGTTAGCCTTCTACGTAATGAATGCTGCTTCCTCATGTCATCATCGGCATAGACGTCTCCATGCTGCTCGCGTGTCTGCGAATCCAGAGCGCTACCTAGGCCGTCTGACCTGTAGTCTCTTCTACAAATTCCTATGAAGCGTTCATGAGCCACCCTTGGCGAAATCAGAGGGTCTGAAAATGTTTCAGCGGGCCTCAACAATAAAAAAATGTGCCAAGAGATTCTCTTCAGACTTCCTGAGAGACTTTGGCCACTTTGTCTGAGGGAGCAGCATGACTCCACAAACAGCCACAGACAAGAGGAGAAATGGAACAAAGAGCCTTACGCACTGGGGGCTTCAACGGCGCAGGACACACCACATTCAGCTTCAGTCTGACTCCTAGACCCCCAACCCGTGCACTCACCTGTGGCACTGCACTGCTACCAAAAATCCCTTTGAGAATGGCCAGGCATCGGCCCACGATCACATCGTCACTGATATTTTCCATGATTCCAGCAGCTTCTCCTGCCACGAGTGCCAATAGTATTGGAGCTAGGGAAACACGAAGGACAGTGTTGTCCTACACATTTTCTCAAGAACCCCCCTCTTTTGGGCCTCACGTTGTCCGGGTGCTCTGAAATCTGCTGACAGTGGATAGACACGCGCCACTCGTGACCGAGACAATGCTGCTTATAACTGCGGGACACGGCAGTCTTGAGGAGAAAATTTTAGCCCTCCCTAACAAAACTAACAACCAACCCTATAGGAATAGAATTAGCCCTGACAACCTTAGCGCACTCCCTGACAAGGACTACATCCTCCTAGTGACCCCAGAACCCTCCAAGGGGGGTCTGACTCCCAGGACCACCCATTTGGTGACTATCAATGTAATAGGTGGATGCGGCAGATACAGCAGTAGATGCCTGGGGGCATAACAGCTATGAACCAGATTAGCTACTCTGTAGATCAGATAATTATTAACTGATAAAACACCTAATTGATGAAAAGCTATGAAGAAAAACAGGATGCAGAGAAAACGAGAGAGACTTGATTTTGATTTGAGGCAGTGAGGGTATGTGTCTTGGAACATCTCCCCGAGATAGTGACATTTAGAGGCCAAGACCCTGCAGGCTGGCTAGAGCATGCCGTGTTGGGAGGAAGAGAAGAAAATGAAAGCACCCCAGACACAGGACATGCAGAGGCCCTGAAGAAAAAAATAGCTTGGTGCATTCCAGAATTCTTGGAGAGCAGACAAGTGTGCCTGGATTCTAAGAAGTGGAAGGGGTAAGCAGTGGGGAAGGGGGCCACAATGGCAGGTGTTGGGGGGTGCAGACAATGAGGAAGCAGACAAAGTAGCGAAGGGCTAGATTAGGCAGGCCTTTATGGCTGTGATAGTGGACAGCCATCAAAAGAAGCAGGGACAAGCAGTTTGTGGTTAATGATCACTGAACAGGGAAAGGGGAGGGGAGTGGCCTGGACAGAGAGTGGAAGAGAAGTAAACAGTCTGAGAGACAGTGCAGCTGAAACAGGACTTGATGGCCTGGATGAGGAAAGGGATGAGCACTGGCCGTTGTTAGGAGCAATGTGCGCAGGAACAAAGTGCCGCCTCCGTGGCCCTGACTGAGGATGGACAGAGCTGTGAGTTAAGGCCATGCTGCATGGGAGAAAGCCTGATCTGAACATATTTGAAGACAGGAGCTAGGAATTTGAGAAAAATATTCTTAGGGGAGTAATCAAAAATTCTGTAGCAAGTCAGATACTAAAGTCTGAGAATAAGGAATTCAAGTTTTCCCTTCCAGGAAGCCCCCCTGGGTTTGTCCCTTCTGAATGGTTGATGATCATTTTCATGTTTTCTTTTGCCCTCCCTATCTAGGAGGTGAGCTCTTTGATCAGGCACTTTTTGGTCATATCCCCAGCACCTGTAAAGGCTTTCAGGAATGGCTGAATTAACAAAAAGTTAAGACATATGTTTGAGAAAAATCAGAAAACTGCTATAAGGATATGAAAAAGATTAAAACTAGAAAGCACTTACCTTTGTAGAGGTTCCAGAAGAGGAAGAGCTCACCCCTGCTGGCAGTTGTACTGCCAACATGCCCAAACAAATTGACACTTGGATCCCAGAACACCCGGTCAAAACACAACACCACCTGTCGTGAAAAAGGAGCAGGTGAGCTGGGGACACGGCTCAGAGAACAGGGCTGTAAGTACAGTTGTGCCTCAGCGGGAAGTACTTTTTCCTGAGGCCTTATTAAAGTCTCTTCTACTCAACAGACGCCTAGAAATCCCTCTTAAAAGTTGTCCCAAGTAAGACATTTATAGGACTCCGTGCAGGCTCGGGTTTGCAAATTCTAGGAGACGAAATCCTACTGCATTTATATAGTAGGTACTGGTGAATGCACTGACAGGCCTCCCCCGACACCAGAGAACAGAGCAAAATGTACAAAAAGGCAGGTGCTTCTCTTCTCCCTGCATGGAGGGCAATGGGTGTGCACAGTCGCCCCAGGTAAGTTACCTTGTTAAGGTTGCCAAATCCCATCCTTTGCACTGCAGATGTTTTCCACTCAGGAAGAGGTGGCACAAACTGAACAGCTGGCGGCTGCTGCTTCAACACACCCAAGGGTAGGGTGCAGAGAACTGCATCGCATTTGTAAATAAAGGTTTGGCTTGTGGACCGAGTATTCACAGCGATCACTTCGCATCCTAGGGAGGGCGGCGAGAGGGACGGGCTGTAGGGCATTACGGAGCTACACAAGTATCTCAGGTAATTCGTAGCAGAAGTCTCTCAAGTTGGTTCTACTCATTTTTTATAGCACTAAACAGCGTCAGAGGTCACGTAACTTATCCAAGCCACCACGTAGTAAAGCGTAGGGACTTAAACCCTATTAGTCAAGATCAGATCACACCATCCTATCTTCCTGCTACAACAGGGACCTTCTGAACTCATGAAAAGACCTTTCTTATTTAACATTACTAAGGAAACAGACCAAAATTAAGAGTGAAATGTCTTGTCCAACAGAACCCGTTCCTTCCCTCTCCGCCGGGGTTAGGTGCTCGCTAAGGGCCCAGAGGAGTGGACACCAAGCCCTGCGGATGAAGCGGGCGCGCCTTAGATGGGCTGTGATACTGAGCTCGTCAGGACAGGAATGTGCTCAAAGGGGGCCACAAAAAGGGCACTGGAAATAAATTTATTTTATTTTTCCTCATTTGTGTTTGATTTTTTTCAATGAACACCTATTATATAGTTTCAAAATACATATAAATATCTCTAACTATGAGAGCTCATTACACGCCTATTTTCTAGGGACAGTAACACAAACACTATTTTCAGTGTTGTTCTCCTGCCTGCAAAATGCCTGCTCAAAGTCACAGACCTTCACTACGCCATCAGCTAAAAGCTGCCTCTGAAGGGAAAATGAAATAGAGGGCCGTGTCAGTGGTTGTGAAAACACGTTTGTGCCCACCCATCAACTCTAAAAAGGGGCGCGGAAGACAAGACGGGTTGCCGCCTCTCCACTTTCATGAGAGCCCTCAGAGAGGGAGGTGAGCACTATCACAAGGAGTTCAAGACTATTCTCGTCCAAGGAGGGTGGGCCACGGGGTCTCTGCCCTCCAGTCATGTACCCTGGACCAGCACTGCTGAGCGCTGAGGCTATGCCAGAGGCATCACAAGCCCATCTCTGAGGTCACCCTACTAGGACTGCTCCCACACCGGAAACCGGCCTGAGCGAAACCTCCTATTCAGTCCGTCTGAACAGGAAAAGTCATAAAGAGCCAGAGATCAACAGGCAGATGGTGAAAAATAAGGACCTGGTTCCACTGGGCCCCAGGGACCAAAATCCTGGTACTTAAGAACATGCTTAAGTCAAATTACATCCACACTTGCTTGCATTTTTTGGTTTAGACTGACGTGAGTTAGAACCTCCAAACATTCTACAGGCTCAATCCTTTTGAAAATTCAAATTTTTAAATTTTATAATAATGTCTTATAAAATTAATTCATAAGACATTCTATCAGGAAATGTGCCCATTATCTTTTCTGTAGGCCACACAACAAAGCCCCGCGCACGTATGGGCGAGAGTAACTGCAGTGACGTACCTGAAGCTGTGTAGCGCACCTGCCGAACCGCAGTATTCAGTTTGATGTCAAGGCCCTCGGCTAGTGCCACCGGCACACAGGAGTAGCCGTTCCGCACTGTCAGGTGGCTGCCAGTGAACTCAAAGTCGTCATCCTAAGGAGGGAAAAGGACACATTTCTACATTTCTTAATCCAATTTCTGCCACTTACACTGAGTTCTCTCACACGGAAAACAGCAGCTGGCAACAGCTACTATTCTAGGGCAGAAATTAAAGAACTATCAAGCAGGATTCAGCTACATCTGTCCCAGAAAACCACAGAAAAAGAGAGGAAAAAGTGCAAATGTCTCTAATAGCTGTGAGATTAGGGCAATCTCTTTTTTTCTCTAGATAGGTTTTTAGCGTAACAGCAGCACATCAAGCCCATAAACAAACTAGAAAATCTGCAAGACTTTTTACCACTAACAAACCCAATCCTCACTCTAAGTAAAATGCTAAAGACTATACGTGGATACTACAAAGTTTAAGAACTCAAGATACTTTTACTAGGAAACTCTGTAATGAAAATTAAAATCTGTAACTAAAAGGTAATATTCTACAGTCTTAAATACTTAAGAATAATTTAACAAAGTACACTGAGGATCACAAGCTAAGTCCTTAAAACTTCAGGGAGAAAATCTGCAACATTAAAGATTTTTTTTCAAAATACAAAAAGCACAAATATTAAATAAAAGGTTGATAGACAAGACTTCACAAAATTAAAAACTTGTGCTTTGAAAGATAATACATCGAAAATGAAAAGGCAAGTTGTAGACTGGGCGAAAATATTGAAAATATCTGAACAGACTTTGTAAGTTATGAAGAGATGCTTCAAATTGCCAGTTAATAGGGAAATGCAAATTAAAACCATGATGTAATACTACAACACATCAGAATGGCTAATATTTTAAAAACCAGCAATACCATGTGTTGGGGAATTTGTGGAATAACTGGAACGTCCAAACACTGCTGGTGGTAATGTAATTTGGAAAACAGTTTGGAAGTTTCTTACATTAAAATCTACTTTCCTTAAGATCCAGCAATTTCACTCCTAGATAGGTAAACACCCAAGAGAAAGACAGGAACCTTTATAGCAGCTTCAAACCCAAGTCCTCCTTGGGTTTCAGTAACCTGCAATCAACCAAGCTCTGAAAATACTGCATACAATATTTTGAGAGTGGGACCACATTTATATAACCTTTATTACAGTAGTTATCACTGTGTTATTTTATTGTTACTAATCTCTTACTGTGTCTATAAGTTTAATCATAGGTATATATGTACAGGAGAAAACAGCATAGGTTAGGGTGGGTAATAGCCATGGGTCTTTGTGGTTTCAGACATAGAACATATCCATGTGGATTAACCCAAATGTCCATCAATATACCAGTGAAAGGGTCAACAATCTGTGACATAGCCACATCCATACAAAGGAATACTAACCACTGTAACAATAAAATGGAACAAACTACTGACATATATAACAAAGATGAATCTCAAAATCTCAAAAACTTCATGCTGAGTGAAAGTAGTAACACAAAAGGCTACAGACTGTATGAAATTAAATGCTGTATGGTTCAGTTTATAGGCAGTTCTAGAAAAGGCAAAACTACAGTGATAGAAACTAAATCAGATGTTGCCTAGAGCAAGAAGTGGGAGGGTTGGGGGTTACTGCAAGAGGATCCAAAGAGAATGTTTCAGGATGATGAAGATGTTCTATGTCTTGACTGTGGTGATAGTTCACAACTATATGTTTGGCAAAAATCAAACTATTCAATTGAAATAGCTGAATTTTATTACATTTTATCCTTAATAAAACTGTTTAAAAACACACAAGGTCCTCTTTCAAAGACATGTGCAATGATGAAGAAATTTTACCTGATCCCAATGTTTAAGGGAGAGAGTAGAGAGAGGTGTGGCATTAGCAAATTCAAGATTTGCAAAATGCCAATCAAGTATTTGTCTGTCTCTTGAAGAGAGATACACATCACTGCAAAATGAGAAAAAAGGCACACAAGGTTATTAAAGGACATTATTACAATTCTCAGTGAACTGATGTGAATGATCTCAGTAACTGTATGTCAATCTATGCCTGGGGCTGGCCTTTCTGTGAGGGAATTTGACTTATTGACCCCTTTATTCCTTAAGCCTGGTGCAACACCAAACCCACCAGAAAAACCAATTCACAGTCAGGCCTCATTTGTCACCCTGCATTCATGGTACTCATTTATTTGTTGTAAAAAAATTTTTTGTATTTTAAATAAAGAATGGGCTAATTAAGCCCATGTGCAAGAATGGGTCACAGAACAAAGTAGATCTCCATGGAAGATGGATGCAGCATGGAATACAGTGTCAGCATACACTGTCAAAAATCCAATGGAAATAAAGTGTTTATCTTCCTAATCCCCAAAATTATAGAAAGCTAAAGCAACACCACCTTCTTATCCCACTCAAAGAAGAAAATTCTCATTTACTACATATTCATTCAATTATCAGATCTTATGGAGAAAGGCTACCCAATCAAAACCAGTACATGTGAGTGTTTAGGACATTCCTACACTTAAAATACAAATATAGGCGATTTAGAAGCCTGATGGTCCAATGTGCAAAGACCTTCCATTCATTAAACAATTTGCAACCCTCACTCACTGGACATAAATAAAAGCCCACAGTAAAAGCTACCTCTCTGATCATTTGTGTGACTTCCTTACCTTGGGGGATTGGCTTCTAATTCTTGCAGTTTTTCTTCAAGTTTTCCTTGTGTTTCAGCTAATTCATCATATTCCTAATAAAATTAAGACAACTGGGTTCATTTTGAAAAGTCACAGACTCACACCACACTATTTAAGGCCTGGATTACATCCCTGTCCAGGTCATATATGTAAATGCACTTCAGTTTAAGGCTAAGGCCAGAGTTCAGGTATGGGTGTTCCTGGAGACCAGTGACAATGTGAGCCTGGAATAAGATGGGGGGTGGGGGGTGGCACAAGCAGGAGGAGGAAATAAAGGAAGAAAAAAACCAGTCTGCAACAAAGGAAGGGTGAAAAAGAATAGCAACTACCACTTCCAGTGCATTTACCATGCTACTAGCCTGGGATAAGTACTTTGGATCCCCTACAAGAGAGGTAGAATTAACACCATGTCACAGATGAAGTGATTAAGGAGACCAAGGTTACATGGCTAAGAAGCACTAAGAGATTTCAACTAGTTTTGACTCCAAATGACTTTGAAGTCCATGTCCACTATCATTAGTCCAAACTATCAGGGATAACCTATGACAAAGGGCTGAACTGAGATATAAAATAAGCTAAAAGGGGCCTCCCTGGTGGCGCAAGGGATTAAGCACCACATTATGAAGCAATCCGAAGCCTCTGCAGCATGAGTTCGATCCCCGGCCTGCCAGGGAGTAACCCACAAGGCGAAGCAGACCTCTCCTGTCTCACCCGCTGCTCCCCTCAGCAGTATATTTCAGTCTGCCTGTTCTGTTCCCCACTCTGTCTCTGGTGAGTCCTCTCACACACACATCCCGCCCCAGTGTCTCTGTGCCCCAGCTTTGTTTGCATAAATAAATCTTTTAAAAAATTAAATAAAAAAATAAAATAAGCTAAAGGATGAGAATGTGAACAAGGTAAGATTATTCAGGAAAATCCGATCTCAAACCAAACTAACCTGTAAATCCCCCACTGCTGCCCATGTTGCTTCCTCTTACCGTACCTCTAGGTACCTGTGAGCTAGTGGCTCACTCCAAGCTTCCCAGACCTACACTATTTTTTTTTTAAAGATTTATTTATTTATTTATACACTATTAAGATTCCGAGTAAGGCCGCCCAGGCATGCACATAAGAACTCCCTACCTTGCACAGGGCCGTGAGATCCCGGTGTTTGCTTTTCACTAAGAACTCAGCAGTGATATCTCTGGGTGGCTTGACTTCAGATGCTTCTTTGTATTGTTGATGAAGCTCTTTAATTTTCTCTTTCAAATTTACCATCTAGAGAGAAAAACACACATTTATCAAGCCAGACAGCTAGGTAATTCATCTCCAAACCACATGTTCTGGTTCCTCTCCTAGATGCTTTATACCTAAACAGGGCTACCACACAAGGCCCCTGGATTTCTAAAGTACCTTATCTACATCATGACATTTTGGAGTGGAGGAAAAAATCCTATCTAGCTCAACACAGAGGTATCACATTATACTGGCAATGCCTTCCAAAACGAAAAAGGAGTGACCCATTCATTTTAGTAAGTATTGAAATTAATTTCCAGAAACACTATTGTGACTTTTAAAAATATATAAACGGTAAAATCACCCTGCAAAACCTTAAGGAGCCATTCCCAGGCTGCTGGTGGTACTCCGTAGGACTAGGGTGATGTTAAATATCAAGACGCCCTGTAACTACTCTGCAAAGTGGCCTTTTTTAGCCACTCTTCTCATTTCACCTGCACCACAATCCGTGAAGAATGTGTGCTGGAGGCCTCTTCATTGAGCAGGATGAAGAAATGAGACAACCAAGCCAGCTTTGGAACAGCCAAAGGGAACCTACGACAGGGAAGAGCTATTTCCCTTGGCAACAATTTACCAGCAATACCATACTAAAAGGCTGACAGACAAAACAGTATCTTTTGCCAGTCATTATTTCTGAGAATGATGAGTCTGCGCTGCAGACTTCTCTCCCATGGAGAAATAAAACCAAAAACATCTTTAAAATGCCCAAACTAAAAGCTTCCCACCCTGTCCTCAAACAGATAGATAATATCACCTTGTTAAGAAGTTCTTTCAATTCCTCTTGAGTTTTCACTATCTTCTTCCAATGTTCAATCTGCTCATCTTTTACATGCTTTTCTTGTAACCTAAGAGAAACAATATGTATGCCCCGGCCACAGCCAGTTCTGTAGCACAAGAAAAGTGCCCACCAAAACATTCAAGGACTGAAACGTCATAAAAGCTATGAATTTTAGAACTGAGTGGAGCCTTAAGGATAATGTAATTATTTTAAATGATTTTACTTTTGGATTTTATCATTGCACATGAAAACTAGCTCAAATAGACTTGCTGAAAAACTTTAAACATAAATAGCACACCTCTAAATGGGTCTACTATACAATAAATAGTATCCAAGTACTTACTGAATGACAACTTCCAAGGCCTGGCCAAGGGACACAGGCTTATTATTGAGGACATTGAAGTCTAGTTGATGACTAAGGTAAGATGTAGCTTCTAGCAACCGGTTAAACTCTTGCTCTACCATCTCATCTTTCTCTTTAGGAACCTGAAAATCCGAAGTATAGCAGAGTTGGTCCTTATAAGACTAAACATAACCATCCATGAATCACAAATGCTCTACAGTTTAAAAGGTCAAAAAATGTATCTCAAAGGGGAAACCTCTGAGAATAATGACTCAAAATTTTCTTTTCTATGAGGTGGTCAATTTCATCAAATGAGATATGAAATGTTTCAGCCCTGACAGTTACCTATTCTCCACTTTCGCTCCCAGGGCTGGGACCCCACCTCTAAGAACAGTGACAGGATTCACACTGGTGCTAACTGAAGTTACATGGAGCACAAGTGCTTTGGAGATAACGGGCACTGAGCTGAACTGGGCTGACATACAAATAACACACTGGAAAAGTCCCACAGAACAAAAACTACACCTGAAAAACCTTCCAGAATAAGGACAGGATGGAAAAATAAGAAGCCCAAGGTAACTACTTCCCCTAGAAGAAAACAGAATTTCATGTGAGAACAGGGAAGAGAAAAGTGAATTTATAGCTGCTAGTAAGAACATAACAGCACCTTCATGCTTTGGCACAGTGATAGTGGTTTATATAAGTTCAGCGTTGAACGTCCAAAGCTCTTAGAGAGTCTGTGAGAGACTTGGTAACTAGCCTGGCCCCTTGCTATTGCGGATGAAGAGAACAGATTGCAAAAGCTGATCATCAAGCTGTAAGCCCACGAGCCTAGTCCCTGCTGTACACAACCCCCCCCCCCCCCCGCCCCCACCTGCTGATATCACTTAGTTGACACAAATCTCTCTGCTGGTTAATTCAGCCTCAAAGTAAACGGTACCTACAATTTACCTATAATTCTGCTGAATGTACAGAAGCAGCAAGAGAAGGAAAAAGCATATGTAAGGTAAGCATCTTCTGCCATAATAAGCTATTAAACTGAGAAATGGGATTTAAATATGTAATTTTACTTTATAGTCAACCTAAAACTGGTAACAAGAAAACAAAAAATTTAAGTTCTAAAAAAACACTATAGTCAGGGATTATCTGTCATGCAGAGATAACTGACTGTGGACAAGATCATCATAGAAGATTCTCCAACTCTTGAAACTCCTTAGGTTTTGTCCTTTTTGAAGCACTGGCTTCTGCCTTTTCACTGACGAATCACACAAGGAACTATGAGATGAGCCATCGTGTGGCAGAAAGAATAGAGTGAGAAGTACCATCCATACCCCAAAAAAGAAAGGGAAAAACAACCACAACTCTCCTTTGGAACTGTAAATATAACAGACATCTTAATTGAGTCTATCAAAATAATATCTTAAAGTAGCAAGTTCTATAAGATCAAACCTGAAAGAAATCAGGAAATCCTTATGAATTTGAGAATCCCCCTTAGCCTAAGAAATATAAATCCCTAAGAATCTTGGGTTTATGTTGAGAAATAAGGCAGAGAAACAGGCTTTAGAAGCTTGGTGCCATTTATACAGCAAGATGGTACAAGGAGTTAACTATCTACACGTTCAACTTCACGGCCAAAGAAAGGTATTCTTGCTAGCAGCCATACCTGTGTGACTATGCTATCAGAGTTAATGGAAGAGACAGAACTTCCTGTCAGGAGTTTCACTGATTCTCATCAGTTACTTTTCCTCACTGATGTAATGGTCATAAACAGAGCAGCTCAAAGCAATGCTGAAACCTCACAGTGTAATTTCTGCAAATAATGCTATAAAAGATAGTTTCAAAAACTGTAAATTTGGATTTCCATTCAATTAGGAAATAATTACATTTTCAACATAAAATCTACATTGTTCTGAGACCTTAACTGATCACAGATGCAATGTGCATGACTGCTTTTCCTGGGATACAAAAAGCTATGTCTATGGCTTTGAAAATGCCTAGCAAGAGGATGCTATAGCAGCAAGAGGGACCAGACCACATATGCCTTTACAATACGGCAGAATGTGCCAAATGTGCAAATGGTACAGATTAAAGCTCTTCCAGTGTCAACTGGATGGCTTGCTTCAGACAAGCTTTAATCTTTGCAGCTAGGGTGACAGTCACATAGGGAAGTTTATACTTTAAAAGTATGCAGCACTCAGGCTCAGTAACTAGGGTCCAAGGTGTGTGGTAGAGAGATATTTAAAGGGACACTGTCAAGGTTAGACGGACCAAATTTGACCTTTTGTTTCTTCCCTCTATTTGCTGAGCAGCCCACTTGATTCATTACACTTTCCCCTTTAGTCCACCCACACCTCCCCACAAAAAACCTGAAGTTTTACATGCGCTTTCAATGACAAAAACTCAAATGACACCAGCCAACATATAGGCGCAACTCTACAACAACAGACCAGTGTGAATGTATGATGGAGAGGAGCTTTGGAAGGGAAATATTTAAGTTTCAAGCTTTTAATGGGTTACTGTAAACAGTGAGGAAAATGATTTGAAAAATTATGAAAAAAATACCTTGACAGTGTCCTTTTAACCAGTGCAGCAGAGAGAGAAATAAACTGTAAATAACAGCCCAACAGCCACGTCAAGTTTAGTTTTGAACGACAGCAGTAAAATCAAGGCTTTAAACACACAGCATGACAGAAGCATTCTGTTAGCTCAGAAGCTGCAACCACCAGAGAAATAAAGAACAGAGTGTACAGAAACCAAAATGGGAAAGTCAAGGCATAGAAATGGGCAAAAGAAAGGCAGTTAGACCAAGGGGTGGGGTTGGGATTGGGGGTATAAGGGAGATGATGTCAGAAAGCAGTGAGAAATAAAGCAAAACTTAAAAAAAGGGGGGAAAGCAAGGGGTACACACATAACAGTAACAAGAATAACAAAATCAAACAAAAAACAAACCAAAAGATTACTGCCACATCTGACTGACACTAGGAAGACACAAATGCATCTCCGGTACACCACCCCAACTTGAGGCTCCATAATCAGAGCAGCAACAGGATTCAGGCAGGCCCCGGGCAGGAATGTTGCCAGTGAGACCAGCAGTAATTTAAAAACTTAGTTTTCATTAACTTCAAAATTCCCCTTGGAAATTAAAGGAATATTTGCAGAACAGTAACTAAAATACTTGTCTGATAGGAAACCAATTATTGACTGGGACAAAACCAAAATGTGTTTTTATTCATGTATTTAAGTCCTGAATCTATTTCTAAAGTGAAGGTAGTTAGATGTGTTCTATATGACATCCTCAGACAATGAAAAGAACTGTAGCAAATGACTGCAATAAGCACCCCCGTTTTCAGATCATTTCTTTCCCCTTGCTCTCTGTTAGCTCTACCAACGATCATGGAGAGAAGCTGACACGCTGGCACTCTGAACATAAGGGACTCAGCAAATGATGACAAGGGGTCAAGCACCTCATGAAAGGACAGTGGGATTTCTTTATTACAACACAGAAAACACAGAGTAGCAAACTAAGAAGCAGTTTCTGGGGAAAGAACCTTTGATACAGTTTTCTAACAAAGGGTCACACAAGAAGGATATCACTTGAAATCGGTTTGGTTGTAACTTTTCAAAGTCATTTATTTCTCTATGAAAGGCTGTAAAAGTAAATTTACCCTTCAAGACTAAGAATTTAGTGAGTCCCATAACCCTAAATGGGTGCATCTAGATTGGTTTGGTCTTGTGGGTTATATGGAACATCCTTGGGCATAGTTGTGGGAGGGGCAGACTGAGTGTCCAGCTCATGCAAATTAAATTTAGGGAACTTCAAGCAACTTTCTGGTTAGGCTTCCTGATCCTGGAGTAAGTCAGTCAGTCATCACAAGGGGAGGCCAGCTTTCCTTTGTTTCTACTTTTGGATACATTATATCATCACAAGCTCTTTAGGTGTTCCTAAACACCGCCCATCTATTTTACTTCTAGTGTGGGTAAATTCTCTAGCAGCAGAGCAGAATGGAGTCAAGTACAGCTAGGCTCCAGGTACAGACGCATCTGAAATTCAGTCAGAGAAATCTTCTCGAAGAACACTACATTGAAAAAAACTAATAGTAAAATCTGGCCCACAGAAATCACAATCTTTACCTCTCCCATGCCCATACACTTCTAGAACCATGATAAAATGAACACTTAAACTTAGTTCCTTTGGTAAGACCTAGAAGAAGTCTAGTCTAATTCAGATCTCCAAATAGCTAAGGGAAATGAGATATACCTAGTATCCTTCTAAAGGATAAGAGTAATTACACCCTCAAACCAAGTAAAATTCAGTGTGATGAAACAGAGACTGTTGCCTCCTCCCCTCTCCTTAAACTCAAAGGACTCTTCTAAGGGCTGTAAATAACTGACATCCCTAAAGCAGTAACTATGTTGTTGTGTAAAGAAGGCAAACACATGGTCTCGAGGAGCTCATACCAGTCATTTTTTAGCACATGGTAGAAGTGCTCAGAAAATTCTTATTAGGGCCTCCCCTGTGGCGCAGCGGTTGAGCACTGGGTTGCGAAGCTGCCCGCAGCCTCTGCAGTGCCGGTTCGATCCCCGGCTGCTCCCCGGCCACCGGAGGAGGGTCCCACATGGTGCGCAGACCTCTCCTGCCGCCCGCTGCTCCCCTCAGCAGTGTACTTTGGTCCTTCTGCCTGCTCTGCACCCCGCTCTGGCTCTGGTGAATTCTCTCACCCTCCCGCGCTTCTGACTGTACCCAGTGCTTGTATGTATGTATGTGTATCAATCAATCAATCAATCAATAAATAAATCTTTAAAAAAAAAAAAAAGAAAATTCTTATTAAATGAATAAATTAATATAGTTTAAATATAGCAAAGTAAATATTACATATATAGTTAAGGGGAAAACAACATTTTACAGCTTCAGGAACTTAAAAGAAGGCATGAGAATTTTACATTTATAAAAAACAGGGACTGGCAGTCATGATTTTAAAGGGTAGAGACAGAATGCCTTAAAGACACTAAGGGTACTTCCTCACAGGAAGATGAAAAGGGGAAAGGCCAAGTAGCCTGATCTAGGACCTAGTACCATATGATACAGTAAAAAACTTACTAAGTTATGATAGGTACTGAGCATATCCTGTTAACAGTCTTTGTAAGAGACCTGGCACCAGTCACCTTAAGTATTACCTTATTCCCCAAAAGAAAATCAAGCTATTTTTCCAAGAAGTTACTGAGTCTTTGGATCTCATTGGTAACATTTCTCTGTGACAAAAGGACACCAGGGACACTGTAATGCAGAATGCTACAAGATCACAAGAAGCTGATTAAGATAACACACTCCAAAGGGGGGGGGGAGAGGCACAAAATCTAGAATCGAAAGCCTCTGAGTTAGTAGCTGGTGTACAGGAGATGCAGAAAACATTCAGAATCATTTCCCCCATCTCCCAACCAATCCAAGTTTTTGGTTTCCTCACTGGGGACTCCCCAGATGTACATGAGATATTAATTACTTTATTCCTCAACCTTCTCCACAGCCACCTATATAACATAATTCAGATTGTAATTCCATCATTAGTCAATCTGAGGGCAGTTGCTATATTAGCTCTAATTATTTTTACAGGCTTGGAAGACACTTCCATTTATAAGGTTATACATATTAGAACCAGATAGGGAAGCCCTTGCTCTAGTCATTCCAGAATCTTTTATAAAATGAGCTTCCTCTGTCAAAAACACAGATCAACATTTTAGCTGCCAATGCAGGACCAGAGAGAACTGAGACTCTCTTTCAGGGGTCTTATGATTGTGATTAAAACAATTACAAGATAATAAAACACAAACTGCTTGCTATGTGATTTTTTTGCCTATAGCAGCAAAATAGCTGATTATGGTGATATGTCCTAAGACAGCATTACAAATGATATTTACAACTGAGTTTATTGCTGGCCTTGTACAGGATGAGAGCAAAAGAACCATCAAATCACCCTCTTTACCACGGAGGCCATTCACAAAGAATGGAGGAACACAGTCCCATTGAATCCATTTACATTTTATAAATGTAAAGAAAAAAAAATGGTTTAATGCGTTTTCACTCTAGGTGGGCCTTGTTCCCTAACAGTAACTATTTCCTTTGAGAAGGAAAGCCAGCTGATGCAGTCACACAGGCAGCTGCAGACCTACACACAACAGTGAACCCTGGTCCTACCTTCTCTGAAATCATCAGCGAGTCATAATACAAGAATAAGAATTTCAACTGGATCACCAGGCAGTGGATTCTGGCTCTACAACTTACTGGCTATCATAACCTTAGGCAAACATATGTCTGCGCTTTAAATTCTTCCTCTGCAAAACGGAGAATGAAACAACTGACCCACTTACTGCTTAGATTTCTAAAGCCATTAAACTTATTTGCAATTTTAAGAATAAATGAATGGGGTTTCCCCGGTGGCACAGCGGTTGAGTGCTGGGTTGCGAAGCTGCCCGCAGCCTCTGCAGCGCGGGTTTGATCCCCGGCTGCTCCCTGGCCACCGGAGGAGGGTCCCACGTGGCGCGCAGACCTCTCCTGCCGCCCGCTGCTCCCCTCAGCAGTGTACTTCGGTCCTTCTGCCTGCTCTGCCCCCCGCTCTGGCTCTGGTGAATTCTCTCACCCTCCCGTGTTTCTGACTGTACCCAGTGCTTGTATAAATAAATTAAATAAATAAAAATAATAAATCTTTAAAAAAAAAAAAAGAATAAATGAATGGAGCTCTAACTCTTATCCCTTGCCCTATAAGCCAAAGTTGGTCTACTGATCAGTAGTTCTTTGTTCTTATCCTGAGCTAGATTACTAGGAACAGAAACATTAACATGACTTTTTTTTTTTTAAAAGATTTATTTATTTGTTTGTTTGTTTATATACACAAGCAGTAGGCACAGTCAGAAGCGCGGGAGGGTGAGAGAATTCACCAGAGCCAGAGCGGGGAGCAGAGCAGGCAGAAGGACCGAAGTACACTGCTGAGGGGAGCAGCGGGCATGGCAGGAGAAGTCTGCGCGCCATGCGGGACCCTCCTCCTGTGGCCGGGGAGCAGCCGGGGATCGAACCAGCACCGCACAGGCTGCAGGCAGCTTCGTAACCCAGCGCTCAACCGCTGCGCCACCGAGGAGGCCCAACATGACTTCTTATGTTTGATTAACTAACTTAGAGGCAAGCAGAACTCAAAGGTCCTAAGAATTTTTCCCCAAATTTGAGAATGCTTAAAGAATTCTCCCTATTACATGGTTACTGAACCAAACACAAACCAACTTCAAAAAATCCTATAAATGATAACTACAAATTTCACTTGGAAAAATATGCCTGTATACAAATACTGAAAACCACACAACAGCTTAAGAGTTGCTTACTACAGTGGTATTCAAAGGCTGGTAATGGAGAGATAAGGAGTTTATGCCAGAGTGCGAATTAACACACCATTTCCTTCATTGAGAGTTTGCTACAAAAGAAAATAAAGTCATCATCTGAATAGTATGGTTAACAATGTAGTTACTTATTTATATTCTGGCTGGTAACCAATAGTTAGTTCATAGACTGGCAGCTGGTTGCACACCACTCTCAAGAGCAATACTAGTATACTATTTAGGGAAAAAACTTGTTTTGACTGTGTTAAAGCTCCTCTAAAACCAAAATAGCAGACAATTTTCTGGATATTTTTACTAGAAAAAAGCTCTTCTGCTAGAAAGACTAAACCTAACTACTTTCCAAAATACCCAAAAGAAAGAGATGGTGTCTTATCGGTGATAATCTTTAGTTTGGATTCCATTACTTCTTGAGAGCTACTGTAATAGCCACTTTGGAGTCTTGCTTCCCCATTCAATTTTCTATATTACTGCCCATCTACCTAAAACACCTATCTGGTCATGTCACTTCCCTGCTCTCAACTCTTTCACAAACAAATCAGCCTAGTAGTGACAACATATACCCTAAATTATAAACTTCAGTATCATCAGCAAAATTTCATCCTTCCCCAGAGTCCAGGGATTTAAATTGTTTGCCTCCAATGACTTTCTCTCCAGAACCACATGTCAAAGTCCTCAGCCACCTTTACAAATGCTCTCCTTCACTCCAAATCTCACCCCACTCTTACCTTCTCCCCCACCAGAGACTCTCTCCTTTGGCTCTTCAACAGAGACTTACCAACAGAGACTTACCATTCTAACCCTTAACAAATATGCTTTAAGCTTTGTTTTAATAGTGTATTTATGAATAATATATTCAAGGGTCTTTTTTGGGGTAGGGGGAAGAGGGGTGAGAAACTTAGATTTTAATGACATCTATTATTCCTGATGCTCTTGGGCTTATAAATATCTGGAGTCACTAGAATTTCAGTCCTTTGAGGGCAGAGAATACATCTTTAGTGCTCTTAGAATAGTGCCTAGATCTTAGCAAATGTTCAGCACTTGGTGTTTGTGATTTGCTTGCTGTTTGTGATTTGTTTTGCTCCAGACAAAAGAAAAAGAGAGCCAGATAGATGAAACAAGATTGGAAAAATGGGAGTCTAGAGTATACTTTATAATACTCAATCTACTTTTGTATAAGTTTGACAATTTTGTAATAAAAAGTTGGGGAAAATAATTAAATGTGTACAAGTTCCACTATACTCTGAGGTCTCATGTGGCAGAGACTGTCTCATTCATCTCTGTATCCTTTACAGATCTTTGCAGACTAATAGAAGCTTACTGAATTGTTGATTCCACCTCTACTACTTTTCTTCGCTCTCATTTTGTTTATTCTATCAGAAGGCTGCCCGTTCCCAATACCCCGAAAACTCTGGTAGGAAATCTGGATCCAGATTTATCCAGTAGGGATAAAAACTAAATATTCCCCAAACAGCTGTTTCCTCTGAATGAATCCTATAAAACCTAAAGACAGGAATAGAGGAGGAAGTCCAACTGGGCTACACAAAACTCAAGAGTTGGGACCTGATCACTTTCAGTAACAACAGTTAAACAGTCATATACACAGCAAGTTTTCCTTACTCAAAATATAAAGATGCTTATATCCTGAGAATTAGACTCCCTCACTCCAGATAGGGGAGAGTTGGCAAAACAGGAACAAATACTGGTTAACAAATACTTTAACCTATCTAAGCACTGGCTTCCACCAACCATCTGATTTTTAGTCCATCAAAAACTTAAGCCTACAAACAAAACATTAAAGTTATAAAGAGCACATGGAGCTAAAGCACACAATGGGAGGCACAATACAAAGAAGTAAAGAATCACGCATTAATTCTACACGTCTCTTGGACTAGGTGGCCACAGTCAAATAAAAAGGTTAGCTGTCCAGCTTGCCTTCATTAAATGTCTAAAGATATATGTCTACCAAGCATGTAAATCTACACATACGTAATGATGATTCCTTCCTATACAGCTTCAAGTTGAGGAACAACCAGAATGTCACATCATTTCTACCCTCAGTAGTTATTTATATGTGTGCATATAGATCCAGACATTGCCCCCATTTTTCTCACTTGAACCAAAGACATTTTGATAAGTTCTGCTTGTCCTCAACTTACAGCTTGTCCATTTGCTTCATAAAGTGGGCATTTTTGCTTGATCTTGGCCAGTTCCATATTTACTTGTTTGCTGACCACTGCCATGGGATTCCCTCCTAGAAAAAACTCAAACAATTAAGTTCAACAAACCTATGAAAAGAGAACAAAAACCCCAAAGGGAAAAAAAACCCTTTTACTCAAAATTTAAAATACTCAAAGGTTAGGTAGGGTAAGTGCCCAAAGTAAAATAATATGTAAGATAAGCATAAATAAAGCAAAATATTACCTACAATTCCATAAGTAGCTAACAATGTTGCCAATCTTTTCAGATTTTATGTGCATAAAATTATAAATATATACACAAAAAACAATTATGATGCATCTATTGTTTTTCCATCTTTTTCAACTCAGCAATAAATTGCTGACATCATTTCACATTAATATGGAGCTGTATTAATATGGAGCCACTATAAGCTTCAGTGGTTCATTAGTTCTCATTATATAATAATCTTCTAATCCACTAGACCATATGAAAAATGGTCCAAGTACAACACAGTCCACCTGTTTATTTTCTTAGGGTAATTCCTTAGATTGCATATGCTGGGTCAAAGTATTTATGTAATTTAAATTTTGGACATATTGAGATATACTTTCAGAAAGACTATTTGTCAATTTACCTTTCACTACTTACAAAATACTAACAATAAAGTAAACCAATGGTACCTCAATAAAATTTTTAAAAATAATTAGTAAATAAAAATGCTGTTGATAAGAAAAAATTATCTCTCACTAACAGTAAGAACAGTACCCTAAGCAAATATATTTTAGAATTGAATCTTTGGTTTTAAAATACAAGCTTAAATAATCTTAGGAGTCTCAGACCAAACAAGTATTACAATATAAAACCAAGCACTTACCAAGGCCTGTTACTACCATGGCTCCAAGATCAGCTACATAGTTCCCTTTTCGAAATGTAGCAACTCGGCCACCCACACGATCCTGTTTTTCAGAAATTAAATGGCTAAAATAATTCTATTTTTAACTGTAAGAACCTGGCATGGTACCATCCCAGGTTTCTATCTTTTATGATTTAAAAAGAAAAGTGTAGTTTACAGTTCACATGGAGTGTACTTAACGGTGCTGTGGGCATACAGAGTATATGAAGTTTAACTGGACGACTATTTGAGGAAGTGGTGGGTCACGAATGACATATAAATATAGAAATAAGTGATGTAAGGAAGGTAACAATTTGACAGCCAGAAGACATACTTAGTCACAGGTACTGCTATCTTTCTATCCAGCTGTCTCTAATACTACTTATTGGACAGACTAAGCAAGGCACATGTACATAGAAAATATTTGTTCACAGATTCCAACACTCAATGCTATCTCTCCACCACTGTTCCACTTTTGGCCCCCAGCCCCTATAGTTAGCAGTGAATGGTTTGATAGATGACTTCAATAATAAATGGTTCTCCAGTGCAGTCCCATGGCAGGGGCAATGTCTACTTAGCATGAACCTGTGACAATACCTCTCACTCCTAAATAAACTCAGGTTTACCTTTGCTGCCCAGGGATTTTCAAATAAGGGGAAACCTTACTAAGTTAAAGTGATACCCTTTAATGGTGGATAATATGAAAATATTTTGTAAATTCCAAGCAACCAAAAAACACGAAACAAAAACGGGCACACTAGATTAAGACTCCACAAGATTAAGGATAATGATCCCATTATTCCATACAATATTCCCAGTACATAAGAGCCTCTATAGAGGGCACATGAATATCTTTTGAATTGAGTTTAAGATAATTTTAGTAAAACTATATAAAAAAAAAATTTATTTCCCCATACCCTACCTGAAGAGATTATTTTTTAAAATTAGCAATTTGTAAAAAGAGATTTGGATTGCACTGTAACATTTTTACAATTTGTATAAAATTTTAGATTATTTAGGCTACCTAGGTAAAGTGTTTTCTTTTAAATAGTGGGAGTCCAGGGAGATGTTTAAGCCATGGAAAATAAAAAATCTTAAAAATAGCTTGTGAAGGGCCTCCCTGGTGGTGGAGTGGTTGAGCGCTGTGTTGCGAAGCTGCCCGCAGCCTCTGTAGTGCCGGTTCGATCTCCGGCCGCCAGAGAGGGTCCCACATGGCACGCAGACCTCTCCTGCTGCCCGCTGCTCCCCTCAGCAGTGTACTTCGTCAGTCTGTCTGCTCTGTTCTCGCCTCTGGCTCTGGTGAATTCTCTCACCCTCCCGCGCTTCTGACTGTACCCAGTGCTTGTATAAATAAATAAATAAATCTTTGGGGGGGGGGGAAGCTCGTGAAAATAATTTGAATTGTAGGACCCTAACACAATCTATGCCAGCACCCTTTTCCTCCATTTCTCCCTAGGACAACTGATAAGGGTACCCATATCTTGGTTTCATCAGGCCCTAAAAGATGGCTGCTGCATGTGAAGCAACACTTTCTCTTTTACTATCCAACGGGGAATACAATTCACTCTGTTTCACCACTGAAAATAACTACCTCCTACAAAGGATGTGGTGAAGGCCCCAAATACGAAAGTTACTGTAAGTAACAATGATCTGAAAATACTATTCAAAAAGGTGTCTGGATCATTTACAAACTCTAAATACTCATTGGGCATTTTTCAAAGTTGTACTGTCAAAAATGCATTATCTGGGTTTCCCTGGTGGCACAAGGGGGTTAAGTCCCAGCACTATCAAGCCATCACCAGCCACTGCAGCACAAGTTCGATTCCTGGCCAGGGAGCTAACTCATATGGCAAAGCAGACCTCCCCTGTCTCGCCCACTGCTCCCCTCATCATCAGTGTATTTCAGTAGATCTGCCCGTTCTGCTTCCCACTCTGTCTCTGGGGAGTCCTCTCAGTCCCTGCACCTCTGGCCTACACTCCAGTTCTTGTATGCATAAATAAATAAATAAAATAAATCTTAAAAAAAAAAAAAAATGCATTATCCAAAATATATAAAACACTATCTATAAAACTTTGAGTATTAAACAAATCAATACACTTTAGCATTCAAGCTACAGGAATTCTTAATTTGCAACAGATAACTATTTTACCATTATTTCCATTTGATCAGGCTTCTACATGCAAAATAGAATTCTTACCCTGGCTTCCAGAAGTGTGACATCCATTCCAAAGCTTTGCAACTGACGAGCTGCTGCCAAGCCTGAGACCCCAGAGCCTATAATAATTACTTTTCCTGTCTTTTTGGCTAAAAGCAAAAAATGAACAAAAATTAGAATATCTTGTAGTAGGTATGAGAGTTTACATTTATCTTTTTTTGTCATGAAAACCTCCAGGTTTTTACCATGTCACGATGTCTTACAGAGCAAACAATTCAGTTATTTTCAAAATATGAAACCCTGAATACAAATTAACAAGTATTAGAAGCTTATAAACTTTAATTCAATATTGAAAAGTTAAAACTTTTAAGATTTATTTTCTCATTATCATCTCATTATCTCATAATATGCTTCAGTATCTGTAACCCTTGGCTAACTTATTATGAATGATCTGTTTTCTTTATCTCATAATTATACCAGGACAACTTGAGCAGCCAACCCATTTATTCCTAAAGCTATTTCCTTTAAGCACTACTTTGGCAGTCTTTAGTATCCCCTTTTGAAGAGTTATTAAAGCATTAAAATGTGTTAAAACAAACTCAAAATATTCCTAGCTCCAGGATTCCTGGCAGATATTATCTAGATACCATGAAGGGGGTAAATAATATTTAAAAAACAAAGATGCACCCTGTAGCAGTGCAAAGAACTGGTCAATGAGAGAAATCCCCAAAACTCCTGCTTTCAGAATTGACTTCTTCCATTTTTAACGAAAATTTTAATTGATTTTTTCCTTAAACTAGAAATCCATTATCTTTTACTAAGTACCCATCAAACCAGAAATTATAGGAAATGAACATTTAAGAAGAGATTTTACTTAAATCTGAATTGCAAGAATATTTTTACTCCAAATACAGATTAACAAATCAAAATAAAATGCTAAAAGTTTTCTGGAAATAAAAGAGCATCCCAGAATTGTAACTTAAAACCATGAAATTCACTGTCTGGGAGAGGTTCTTACTTGGGAGGGGTTTTATCCTCTTATAGATGCCAAAGTTGATAAGACCATGACGCTCTAAATAACTGTGAACTCGGTGGACAAGCACAGTATCACCTACAAAATAAATGGATTTAAAAACATGTTTATATTTTTAGCAGTTTAAACAGAAAATCTATTTCTCCATCATGAAGTCACTCCATACATGTTTTCCGTAACTTCAAGTCATGTAACTCCTTTAGGACACAGGTTGTCTTTAGTATCACTTACATCTATTATAAAATATACCTATATTTCTTGTATCTATTATTAGCCTGTGAGGTAGTCTAAAATATCTATCTCCTGGATTCCTGGCAGATATTATCTAGGCACCATAAAGGGGGTAAATAATTATTTAAAAACAAAAATGCACCCTGTAGCAGTGCAAAGAACTGGTCAATGAGAGAAATCCTTGAACCTCCTGCTTTCACAACTGACTTCTCCCATTAACAAATATTTTAAATGATTTTTTCTTAAACTGGAAATCCAGCATCTTATTACTAAGTACTCATCAAGCCAGAAAATATAGGAAATGTATATTTATGAAGAAATTTCGCCTAAATCTGAATTGTAAGAAGATAAACACGGGAATATCTTTACTCCAAATAATACGGGTACATATAAGTTAGAAATTTTAAGAATGATACCCCATTCCATTATTCATGAAATAAAGGACAGAAACCAACACTTTTAAAGTAGCATTATGCTCATTTAACTGTGGCAAAAATTTTGTAAGACTTTATTTTTGGCAAAGGAGAAATGAGGATGTCAGATAGGCAGTTAATCAAATCCAACAAAGTACTTCATCAATTAAAGTTGAATCAGAAGTCTGGGGATTATTATTAGCCATTGAACTCACTTGTCAACACAATTTAAAAACCAAGAAAACAATTAAAAAACATGAAATAATACAGAAATATGAATGAAAATATTCACTAGCAAGAAACCATGAGACTCCTGGGAGTATCAATTTTCACAATCTAGTCCAAAACTAATACTATTAAATACATTACTTACTGTTGTAAGGTGCTTCCAGTTGTTGGAGAGTAGCCTCAAATGTCAGCTGAATCTTTGGATTATCTAACCATAACTGCAACTGCATTTAAATATATAAAAACTGTATTGCAAACAGAACTATATACCATTTGACCAATTTAAAATATGCATTTCACTTTATGAGTTTTCTTTTTAATGAGACAGTACCAGTTATATTCTTGACAAAGAAAGTGGTGAACACGAAACTGTATCAAGTGAGAAAATTGCTGAAGAGGCTAGGAGATATTCGGCCCAGAAAAAGAAAAATCCTAGTAACTTGCCAAAATCAGCCGGTAGACAGCAATTAGGATTTAAACCTGGATTATGTGACTCCAAAGATAATAAGTAGGTAAAATCCACAAAATCAAATTATCAGGTGTGTTTGTGGGGTGGGGCGGGGGGGGGGGAATGAGGTGCCATGGCCTCAGTTTCTGGCTTGCACAACTAAATGAGTCAGTATGCCATTCACTGAAAAAGGGTCAGTGAAAGAGGAAACAATGGCCTGTTGTTAAGAATAAGCCTACAAAGCAGGCAACAACCAGGGACGCAGGAGAAAAACCAGAATGCTGTGTAACTCAGCTTAGGGAATAATGTGTTTAAGGAGAAAGATGTATTCAATTATTTTGAATACTGCTGAGAAGGCAGTAAGATGAATGAAAAATATGACACAACCAATGGGCTCCAACATTAATTACCTTCGAATTGAATATGTATCCACAAAATGCAAGACAAACTAAATGCCACCATATTTAAGTCTTAGCTAAAATTTAATAAAGACTGCTCCATAAAAAATTTTCAAAAGAGTTAACGTGGCTATATGTAAATAAACATAGTAACAAATCCATATGCACCCTCCACTTTTCTTTGTGGTTGCTGTTAAGAAAAAGTGGAATTCCTTGGGCCTGAGTTCCTCACCCTTCGATACCAGCCTCGGTCCTCCAGCCTATAAAATAACGCTAAGAAAATAGATTCTAATTCAATAACCCTAAAGTTGCAACTTAAATCTGGAAGCAAGATGTAGTTTAAGGTAAGAAAATTGGTATTATGATTCTTACCCAAAAAATAAACAAACAAACAGTTTCTTTGTCAAGAATATAACTGGTACTGTCTCAAGGGCCTCTCTGGTGGCGCAATGGGTTAAGCACCACACTATGAAGCAACCCGAAGCCTCTGCAGCACAAGTTTGATCCCCAGCCCACCAGGGAGCAACCCACATGGCGAAGCAGACCTCTCCTGTCTTGCCCACTGCTCCCCTCTGCAGTGTATTTCGGTCACTCTGCCTGTTCTGTTCCCCACTCTGTCTCTGGTGAATTCTCTCACCTCCCGCATCTCTAGCCTGTGCCCCAGTTCTTGTATGCATAAATAAATAAATCTTTAAATAAACAAACAAACAAACAAAACGACTTATGTCCTATTTCACTGCCAAAGACCATGACTAACCAAGGCACAGTTCCTCCCTAAGTCTGGACCCTTGGCCATAGTGTCATTCAAGTAAAAGGTGAAATGAAACCCAATGAAACTAAAATATGATAATTTTGTCTTAAAAAGTCCAGTTAGCTCAAATATGGATGCTACATACAGAAACTGATTCAACTTAATACCTGAAGGAAAAATCCCACTAATTTTGGTTATCTCTAGATAACAGTATTTACAGGCAATTTAAAAATTCTTCCCCTGGTTTCTTTTTACCCCCCTATGTTCTCTATAAAAATCACACACACTTTTCATTATCCAGGCAGGGGGAAAAGCTGACATGGATACTTACTGTGCGGTTTCTAATGAACAGAAAAACCTTCTGAGTCTGCTGTGGTCCGCTGATGATATCTGGAAAACAGGCTGCTTCTTGAGAAGTCATGCGGTCATGGGGAAGTCTACTCTGGAAAGCTGCACCCTCTACACCTAGCAAAGAAAGCAAAGGACTTCTGGGAAAACTGCAAGAATCATAACTAGGAATAATGATTATTCTCCCAAACTCCATTTCTGTCTGAAAAATCTCTGTAAAGCGTTGCCTCCCTCAGTCAGATTGAGCTCACCTCCATTTTTACAAACAAGTAATATGCTCAAAAGCTGAAACATCTGCAGGATTCAGTCACTCTTTTATTATTCCAAAATTTACAGTTTACTAATGAGTAAAACAATATACCGTATAAAACATGACAACAAGGCATTTAGAATATTTTCTTCATTCACAAAATAACTTTATAATATGGGCAAATACTCTTAACTAAAATTAGCATCACTGATAGTGATTTTAAAACTGAAGAGCCAGGAAAGCAAAAGAGGCTATGGAGTGAAAAACACAATTACGTGCCTTCTTTTAGTGTTACAGTGGGAAACATGAAGAGGACCCCAGATTCAATACCCAAGAGTATGAAACACATGATCTCATCAATGGTTCACCATTAGTTCTCATAATTCAGCACAGGCAAGCAGTAAAAGAAATTAAGCAGACCAAAATTATGTGACAGAAGAAAGCAAGGAATTTTGTCTTTTTTGACAAAAATGTTTGAAATACTTTGCCACATGATACAATTAAAGTTATTACATACACTATACACTACACATACATACAGTGTGTATCCTATATACCAGTAAAATATATGCTATTTTGAAACTTTTTAAAGTAGTTATTAAATTGATTATTTGTATAAGCTGGTGGTTAAGTCCATCTAAGGTCTGCTTAGAAATACATTTATATTTTACTTGTGTTTCTGAGCTCACTTTATAAAAAAAATACTTAGCCAGTAGCTTATGAAAATATCCAGACACTATTTTAAGTAATGCTGCTGAAATAATTAAATATAAATAACAAAATGGGCACCAGATAACCACATTTAACTATTTCTGAAGCACATAAACAAAATTAAATGAAAGGTAATAGAGAATATAAAAAAACAAGACAGGTAAAGATGTAACTAGGAAAATAACAGCTAAGCTACTAAGGCGTAGTTTCCACAAAGACAATTCTAGTGGCAAACATTACCGAGTTAAAAATAATGGCTAACAAGAGTTCTAAAATAGACTGCACATTAAAAAACACTGTTCTTGGAAAAAGGAGAAAAATCTATCCACCCAAGGTAAACAGTAAAGGCACAAATATGGTGTCCACATTACTGTATCAGATCAACAATCTTCACATTTAATGAATCCCAACCTAAAATTAAAGACTGCCAGGATAATTAATTATACCTTAGATGAAAAAGTAATCATAAAGAGTCATATTTTGTTGAGGGCAGAGCATGAAATTATAAGGCACAAATGGAAGAAATGCTGTCAAGAATATAGTTTCTTACAGCAATATGAAAAGTTTTCTAAAACTATACAGCTTTCATGCTCCCAGTCCACTACCCCAAATCAAAAACAAAATAGAAAAAATAGAAAACAAAACTAAGATCAAAACCATGTCACATTATAAGGAGCATTATCTACTCAATAATTCTGAGTATTTAGACCAAGTATCTCTCAAATAGGCTCCATCTTCATGCATTCTTGAGTGTGTACTATTTACATGAAAATCGATGAACTCTACAAACACCCTCTCAAAAATAGGGGTAATTTCCTTTCTATGCTAATTAGTTTCTATGTTTCATACATGGTCACTGAATATCAATCCTACTGTAAAATACTACTGTCAATGACAAAAATGATGTAGGGAAAAAACCCCACTAAATTTATATTACATATGGCTCCTCATTCCAAGTGTTCTTTATCATCAAAAATTACTCATAATATATATAGTAGGCTAACTTACAGAATTTTAAGACTTTGAAACTTTTTTTATTTATAAAAAATCATGTGGCAGTTTTAAAGTATCCCTAAATCAAACATCAAAAGTTTATTTACAAAAGGAATTTAAAGAAAGCAAAAGCTGTAACATTAAACTATGCATGGAACATTATTCTCCATCTCTGTCTTCATACAACATCTGTACCACCCTAGTCATTTTTAAATACCTCATCAAATTTTTAAAATGAAAATCTCTTAAAACTTTCAGTGATTATTTCCTTCCTTTTGGTTTTTAGAGATCGAGACTAGTATTTTGGAAGAAGACTATTATCAAAATCAAGGCAGAAAATCTGTAAGATAAAAATCTAAATATATATGTTAATTTGGAACCTAAACTCGTAAGAGGCTAAATCAAACATCTTTCTTATAGGATAGTCCCAAAAAGAACTAATAAACCACTCTGGATAATCTAATTCCTACATATCTCATTTATATGGAAAACTTTAAATACAGCTGATTTTAATAATATCCTTATTAAAAGAATTACCGGTAAAAAAAAAAATCTACTAGTAGTACAGATAATACAGAAATAATTTACACTTGATTCTGGAAAAGTTTTATATTTTGGTGTTTGTATGCACTTAACAGAATCTGGTATTCTGGGAATTTAGAATGTTCCAAAAACGTTATCTAAACTTTTTTAAAGCCCCAAGGTTGCTTCATAGCAAACTTAGCCTCTGTTCAATTCCTCTTTCTTACCACATTACACAGAAAACTCCAACATTACCTTTCAGAATGCAGTCACACTAAAGTAGAACTACCCTTTCTAATGGTCTGACTGGCTTACACTTTCTCTGAAAACACAGTAAAAGTAGAGACATATTTAAGGGAATAATTTAGATTTTCTCAGAGATAGCAGAGACAGAAAAGGGGACAGGAGTAAATTAGGCTATGTAAGGCGTTCTATTCCTGGAAATCATTCTCTCCACTATTCTGATATGATACAGGTAGCATCCCGAGTACAATAAGGAAACAAGTAAAAATAAATAGAGAAGAGTTACTTGACTCCCCCCACCCCAAGCTGATAAATCAACTGCAAACAGGATTTCTAGTTGAAGAATGAAAACAAAAGCTTGGTGGATCTACATACAAAATACCTAAAATCAAATAACTACAGATGTACCATATCCAGTCCTATCAGAGTTTAAAAATAAAGAGTAAAGAATTGGGGAAGGAGGGAAAAAAAGAGGAGAATCATACAATTCCTTATGCTTTCAATTAATTCAAACGTTAAATGATTCTATGAGTGAGGGTATAAGGAAGAGTCTATGCATAAAAAACAAAACATCTGTTGGCATAACCCTGATTGATTTCACTGTCTCAGATCTTATCCATAAAACAGGGGTGATACAATACTCCAAAGGCAGGAAGCTAAACAAAATGACTTCAAGTTCCCATCTAACTTTAAAGATTTAGGATGTATATGCAAACTTGATGTAGATTTTTAAATGTCAAGATATGATCCTGGTCACAAAAGACTCATGAGAGTCATTTGACTATATTGAGAAGAACGCTGATCACCTATAAGCCCATGCTTCTATCTCTGATCATCTCGCAAATGCATGCTTGTGAACATGACAAAGATCTGAAGAGAGCTCTTGAAAGGTTCAGAATAGTCACCACCACTCCTAGAAACCTTAAAACTCATGTTCTAATAAGTCAGTAGCACTACAGTTTTATATAAAGTCGGCTTTCACTGTCAACAATCAACTGGTGTTATTTAATCAAAAGAACAAATGTATTTACACAAAACAAAAAGTAACAAGAAAACTTGCATTTTTTCCAAGATTAAAATTCTAAAGATTATCCCTGATCTTCAACAACAATTCCATTGAAGATTCAATAGCACACTGTGTATTCTTAAAGGTTTATTATCTGCCATAGATAGAGGTTCTGAATAAGGAATTTAACTCCTAAGATAATCAAGTACTGATTATCAAGCTCAGTCCTTGGGATAGCATTTAAAGAAGTCTATTTCTTAACATTCTGGACCCCTTAAATACTGACTTCTTTATTAACACTGAACTATCTATGATCAAAGAAAGTAAAATATGAATGCTCCCTGTATCTGTGCTATACACAAACTTCAATAGACACATACCTTTAAAGTAAACTTAACCCTGGAAAGTGACAAACTCCAAAAAATGAAGTAATTTAATGTATGTATTCCAATTCTTTCTAAAATATATATGTAAGCCAGACTGGAGTACTGGAACACACAAAAACATCCTTTAAGAGGCAAAGGATGAAATCCACACATACACCTATGAATTCCTGGAACTTTATTCCAGATGGGCCCCTATAAATCACTTAACACCTTTTTTCTAGAAGTAAAAATCTCATAGTTTGGTCTAAAAAGAAAGAGCATTTTGAGCAAACTTTTTAAAAGATAATTTTCTTTTGAGAGACAAAATGTTTAAAATATGAAATATTAACTACATAATGTTAATTGTAAAAAATGTGCCCAGTACCATTTCTAAACAGAGTCACTTCCCTGCATAATTCCAACTAGTCCTAGAATGCCTTTCTGACCTATTTTTTGAGGACTTTCCAACTTACTGATTCTCCTCTCTACGTATAGAGCAATGTTTCTTCTAAAGGTCCCATGATTCTTATACCTATGCTTTATATCATGTTTACTGTCATGATAAAGGCTGCTGGGGAGAAAAATACCCGCCATCTCCTCAAAAACATGAAGAAAAGCGGAGGGCTGAGATCGGCCTGAGGACTTCAAATGGCTTTGCTTGCTTTCGTTCTGGCTATATGCCTATCATACTGCTCTGTTCCGTGGGTTAAATTTCCCCTGCACTGCCGGCTAAAACGTGGATACCACAGCCAAAAACACTTGCAAGCATCAATCCCTGACTTGGCGGCTCTTGCTAAGTGGCAAGCATCTAATGCCACCCTCACCTGATGCTTGGCCGTCTCCATACCCTCCAGAACTGTCGTCTTGAAGTCCTCCTGCTTGCCCTGTGGAAGGAAAGAGGAGAACTCAGGGACCTTACTCCATAAATTAAGATAATATCTGGACATAAAGGCCTAATAGTCGGTGACTCATGGATTCACCACCAACTAGTAAACCCATATTCAAAGAGCTCCTTCTTCTGGAATCAAGGCCCAGGAAATCACATCATAGTCTTCCAAATTCTGATCAAGAAATTTCAATTTTACATGCTGCTTCTTGTTGAAAGGTAGTAAAGTACATGGTATTTCTGATTGCTAAATCCCTGCTGTAAGTCTTATTTAGTAGTTAAGGCTGAATGGGAAAAAAGGAGATTCCAATGTCTTTTACTACTTGTTGCTAGACTGAGTGGGGTGACATGGGCTCTAGGACCTGGAGCTACAACAGTATACTGACAGCTCAGTATCTCTGTAACTTTACCTTTCTATCTAATAAAGAATACATATAAGATGAAAAGATTTATTATTTTAATGAAAAAATTCTCCTGTTTTCAAAGCAGGGACTATAAGACACAGTTCCAAAAGAAATTTCATTTAATGTAAATACTAGACAGTACTAGATCTGAATATGCCAGTGCTTCCTTAGTATAACTTTGGAACACACCATAAGATGCCCTGCATTCATATGCCAATAAACACAGACACATGGAGGTCCAGGACAGGGCAGGCCAAGATCTGTGAGTAGCTTCCATCTCAAGGTACACAATCAGCTTGCTAAGACATTTTCTTTATTAATGCGTAGAAATAACTAAGAAAAAAATCACTATCTGAGGAAGTCAGGATAGGTCATCTTCCAGACTCAAAATCTATCACCAAGACAGATGCTATAATTCTCTTATACTGCTAGCCGCCTCAGAAACACTAGGAAAACTATAGTTTGATCTTTGGAAGATAGGAAAACACTACCCCCCGGTGACATAAAATTGTAAAACCTTCATTAAACAGTCTATTTTAAAAGAATTCCAATGAGAAAGCAGACTGATTTATTCTACCACTTGAGTTAAAAGGGAGCAGAAAAGTGAAACTAACAAAGCCCCCTTACTTTAAGAATGCTCCCAGGACTGGGAGATTTAAAATAACATCTTCAAGTACATGAAGGTGCTTAGATATGATTTTTTATATTAGAATGCCTTGCTAGAAGGTATATGCTTTGCTTTGAAGGTCAAATAGGATCTCATTCTAAAATTATTTCATGATGTTCTTGTCTAAAGGGTCTTTTCAAAGTTCTATTCTAGAAGGTTATGCTTCTCAGACAAGATCTGTGATTTATTGCTTACAGCCTTTGGATACAGGCATATAATTATGAAAAGATGACTCCAATTTTTAAATCCAAGATGCAAGTGTCTAAAAATGCAGATCCTACATTTTTTTACTTTAAAAGTTTAAACTGGAAATGTCCATTTTATTTATATAAAATCTTGCAGTGTTTTTTTAAATGAACTATAATTGTTGCCACTGTTTTGTTTAGCTCCAAATGGGATCAAGCCACTTCAGAAGATTGAATTGTATTTGAAAAGAGAGGGGAGAGGGGTTCAGAACAATTAAATAAGTTTCTAAGAATGGCAAAATTTAGGCATTAGGAAGAATACAGTTCCTCTCTCTCAAATTATGTTCCTGACATGGCAAAGAATGAAAGTCTTTTGTAGTGAAGACATCTCACTATTTCTAAAAGTAAATAAGAAAAAAAATATTTTCAAGCTAGCCATTGAGCTATTTTATCCTTCCAATTTCTATTATTTTTCCATTTCCTCCTACATGTTTGTTATACAATGTGCTAATTCATTTATTTATTTTTAAGCAAGAGGTAGCTCAATTGACCTTTTTGTCAATGGTACTTAATAGAAATAGGGATTTTTTTTTTAAAGATTTATTTTATTTATACAAGAACTGGGGTAAAGGCCAGATGCGCGGGAGGGTGAGAGGATTCACCAGAGACAGAGTGGGGAACAGAACAGGCAGACTGATGAAATACACTGCTGAAGGGAGCAGCGGGCGAGACAGGAGAGGTCTGCTCGCCATGTGTGTTGCTCTGAGGCCTGCGGGGATTGAACCGGGACTGCAGAGGCTGTGGACAGCTTCATAGCTAAACGCTCAACTGCCTGAGCCACCAAGAAGGCCCCTAGAAATATGGATTTTTTAAGAAGAATTATTTATTTATGCATATAAGAGCTGGGGTGTTGGCCAGAGGGGTAGGGGGGTGAGAGGATTCACCAGAGACAGAGTGGGGAGCAGAACAGGCGGACTGACTGAAATATACTGCTGAGGGGAGGAGTGGGTGAGACAGGAGAGGTCTGCTATGCCATGTGGGTTAGCTCCCTGCCTGGGGATCGAACTCATGCTGCAGTGGCAATGGCTGCTGATTACTTTAGAGTGCTGAGACATAACCGCTGCGTCACCGAGGAGGCCACCAAAATAATAGAATTCTTGCCCCTGACTTAAGTACTTCAAAGGTTAAAACAAGGTTGCTCTTTTAGAAAGACAGCCTTTACTGTCTTCTGCTTTTGAGAAAATGAATTAATAAAACTCTCTTAAGACATTATCCTTTGAGAAAGATATGTAGGAGAAATATATAAATGATTCAAAACCCTGGAAGAATTTTTAAAAGGGATCCCTCACAAAAGCAGAAAGTCAAAAAAGAAATAAAACTTCAACGTATTACTGAAGCAGAGAAATAGAAGGAAACCAAGGATATGGTGATTTAAACATGTAAGAAATAGTGGAGTGAAAAAAACCAAAAAGTGCTGAAAATTAAATAAAGGAAAAATATATCACTTGACTTGATAAAGAAACTTTATCTTTACTTGGAAGTAAAGACGAGGCTGTTATTTTCTCTTTTATCATAATACACTCATGAGTATTTTGAGGGTGTCTATTTTTCCAAAGACAGCTGAAAACAAATAACATCTTTATTAGTGGTATTCCAGACCAATTCTTCATCATTTTCTTAAAACCAGTACACATAGAAAGGTTTGTAGCTAAGTCTCCTTCCATGTAGTGTTTCTGATTAGAACATAAAATACCGCATTCATTTCCTTTTTGAGTCTTTCAGCCTAGGAGTCTGCTTCTGACGATACCACAAAGACATGGAACAGCAGGCAAAAACAGGTGTTATCTTCCATAAACTCAAATTCAAAAAAGAAAAGTAAAATATACAAAAGTAACTTCTTAATATCACCTTGACTTTGGGCCACTGAGCAGGTTTTCACCCCTAACACACACACATGCTTTATTCTCTCTCTCTCACTCTTCCCCCCACCCAAACTTTGAAGTAGAGACACTTTTTTTTTTTTAAAGATTTATTTTATTTATTTATACATGCACTGGGTACAGTCAGAAGCGCGGGAGGGTGAGAGAATTCACCAGAGCCAGAGCGGGGAGCAGAGCAGGCAGAAGAACCGAAGTACACTGCTGAGGGGAGCAGCGGGCGGCAGGAGAGGTCTGCGCGCCATGTGGGACCCTCGCCCGGTGGCCGGGGATCGAACAGGCTGCGGGCAGCTTCACAACCCAGCGCTCAACCGCTGCGCCATCGGGGAGGCCTGAAGTAGAGACTCTTAATATATCCTTATTTGTGCATATCCTCTCCAAATTAAAAATAAAATCTTTTGGTTTATCTTAGTAGCCTGTTGGTTGTCCTCTTAATAAATCTGCAAATCTGTTAATGCATTTTTAAAGAACAGTGAAATGCTTTAGTTATAGTCACACTACTGGATGTTTTCTCATCTTGATTTAATTCTCAAGAGACCACACTTTTAATACCTTAAAAGGAAGTCTATAATGACTTTCAAATACTTTTATCTGGCAAGCATGGACATCAGAATGGCTTGCTGTTCCCAGAACATACCGATCAAGAGACTCATTTTTGACTCGTTTCTTAGAATCACATTCAAACCGATTAACTTTTATAAACATTTTGAGAAATTTCAAAATCTTCTAGGATGCAATGATTTTTTAAACATCAGCTCAATTTATCAAAATAGCCAAACTTACAGAATAAAAGTGACCACCAAGTTGATTTCAACTGAACTTGACAAACTGGCAGGGGACATCTCAAAGTTAAAACCATCTTGAACACTTAAGTTTCCACTACACTGTCATACTGGTTGAATTTCCTTATTTAATAAACTCAACTAATTCAATGTTTACTAAATACCCATCCCCAAACTGCCACATACAAAAATGAAGTAGAATAGATTAAGTTCCTCTTTTCAAAGAGCTTTATAATCTAATAGGGCAAAGATGAAAAATATCCAGAAAGAAATGATTTTTTTTTTTAAGTAAACAAGAAGCTAAAATAATCTTGGGAAAATCAAGGAAGCTTTTCTGAACAAATCCAAATTACTATGGACAGACTGAGAAGCAGTGAAAACCAGCATGGTCCAGACATTTACAAAAGCAAGGAGAAAAGCACAGCATGGTATGTGCAAAGAACTACACAGTCCCCTGCTTAATAAAGAAGAGGATCTCAAAAAGCAGAAAGAGATCAAATGGCAAAGAGGATCACACTCAGTGTCAAAACCTAAACTTGATCTTAATAGCAATAAGGGGAAAGCTGTATGATCTCTGTCAGGAAATCAGCAAAACAAGTGATATTTTAGCTAAGCTAGTCTGGTCACTTAGCACCAAATGGATTAGAGGGAAGAGGTGACCTAGCTAAAGATCTGAACAAAAGACTACTGAATAACTGATGTGAAGTAAAATCCACTAGAAGAAAAAAGTGCCAGTGAGTATGGGTAAAGCATAACAAATCTAAGAGGCTGTGCAAAGGAAGGCATAGGACTTTACAAGAGACCTGACAAAAGGGATAAGGGACTTTAAAATGACTCCAAGTTTAAGTTCAGGAGACAGATGGGAAGTATGGGAAACAGGCTAGTAAAAGCAAATGGATTTGAATACGCTAAAGGTGGCTGGACATCAAAGAAAGAATGGAGCTGAAAGACTTTAAAATAGTATAGAGAGGGTGGCTCTGAGTTTGAAGCAGTTGTAAATGTATGATTTATTGCATAAGAAAA